GACACCAGCTTGCACGATGCTCAGAATATTCAGCACACAAAGAAATGCACTAGTTGAATGACACTTAGGGTAAATTGTTAAATGATCAAGTGAAACACTGATGTTTAATTGTTAGTAATAAATAATTCTGATACTGTGGAGTAAGCCTAGGAGTACTAAAGTGTAGGCAGCTGTTGAAGATTGACATTGATCACCTGTGGGGCTAAAGCAAGGGGAGCCCTAAAAATGCAGAAGGCTCCAAACAAGCCATGCAAACAAACTGTTCCAGCTGGGGGAAGGTGAAGGGCCCAGGCCAGCCCCACAAAAAAGCTGCTAGCAGAGGGGTTGAAATTGACATTCTTCTTGGGAGAGTATAAATAAATAGCTACAGTGCTCCAGCATTTCCTTCTCTCCCATCAGGAGAGAGGGCTCCACCTGACCCCAGCTTTGTCTCTTCTTTATTTTCCCTCCTCTTGTGGTCCTTCACTCCAAGAACCTCAAGAGCCACATGGTCATAGCATTAAAGCCCTGATCTACATCTGTAGAACTTCCACATGTCTTTTTAGACAGGGTCTCACTAAGTAGAATTGGCTGAACGTGACTGATTTTCCTTCCACTTCTGCCGCCTGAGTTGCTGAAATTACAAGCATGCACTAGTAGGCCAGAAAGATTTTTTATGGCAAAATAATGGGAACATACATGTGCTCAAGACTAAGTGTCTTTTAGCTTCAACATTCTCTTATTAACTGGAACAACAATACACATTATATGTATTTCAGGTGATGGTAAGAAGCAATGTAGTTTATAGTGGCTTTGAACTCACTGTGTAGTCCAAGGTGGCTTCAAACTTGAAGTGATACTCTTGCCTTTGCCTCCTAAAGTACTGAAATTATAGGTATATATCACCACAACTTGCTACAGATATTTTTATTGTTAAATATTCTTTTATAAGACTGAGATGTTGGTAAAGTTTAGCATGTCATATGTGAGGTTTTGTCGTCAGTCCACATTACTGTTTTTTATTTTACTTCTGTAGCTATAAATGATAATATGCTTATACAATTAAATTATCCTTATTAATTTTTTAAATATATCCAAAGTGTAGTAACAATGCATCAAGTGTTCTTCAACTACTTAAGATAATTAATTACATTTGGCAGTCTCACTAAACCCTCCTCTTTGATTCTTCCAGAAGAAATACATGCTTTCTAATATACACAGTATTCATTTTTGATGTGCATTTTATCAGGCTGGCATGGTTCACCTCATCACTTAAACCACTCAGTGCCAGAAGGCATGGCTGATTGTATAAGCTGGTCTAGAAATTTTGCCCACTATTACCACCAGTGTGGGTCAACCCTATCCAAATCAACTGGACTCTCTGTGTTGAAACTGGTTAACTTCCCTGGTGGTCTAGTGTTACAATCTGGCATTTTCTCTAGTGATAGGGTTCTTACCAAAGCAATAAAGTGGCTCATGAGAGAGTGAGTAAACCACACCAAACCAAATGAAACGAAACCAAACGAAACCAAACCAAACCGAACCAAACCAAATTAATCCAGTGTCTAGTATATTTAGTGACTGGGGAAAAGCACTGATTTTAAGAGAAAGCATAAGAACAAGTTGCAAAGCTAGCCAAGCTAGATTCAGTGTCCAACCCAATTTTCTTCTAATAGTTTTTCTAGGCTTAGATTTGTACAATTAAGAAGGTAAGTGTCTTAAAAATCATAAAATAGCTCTGTCCTTTGCAACAAACTAGTTTTTGGGTACTCAAGAATAATTGGTGAGTGTTGCAGTTATAGACAAAGAACTGTGAACTTAAAAGCAAGAGGCAAAGCTACACCATCTCTCAGTAAGGGAAAGAAGGAATCAAGGGCTCTGGCTGCTAACATAAAGGGTTGAGGGAAAATTAGACTTTTGTCTTTGTCTGATGGGTGACATTTTAAACCCAGAAATATCTATCCACTTACTCCTCCCAACATCAATATTTAAGTACATTGGTTCTGGAATTCATTTGTCTGGACCTTAATTTCTTCTCTATCCATTACTGGATTACTTAAGAGGAGACAGAGCATATTCTGAGGCAAGCAGAAAATCAGATATCAACACATTTTTGAAGTTAAAATGATATTCACTCAAAATTAAATTATGAAAATTCAGGGCTTCGTGGAACTTCTTTTCATCTGTTTTCTAGGTAACCTTTTATTTAAGTTGTAAATTATCCATGCAGCGTAGTCTCCACAATTTTTATCATTATGTGTGTTACTGAAGCCCTGCTTTTTTATTACCTGTATAAGAAAAGTTATTTCATATTCCAGTGTCAGTTTTCTCATCTATGAAATGGGAATCATAATGCTACATCCCTCAGAGGTCTGTTAGAATATTACATAGAATAAAACAAAAAACACTCCATACAATACTTACAGTAGCCTGAACATTATATGTTAGATCTTTTTCTATTACTTTACTTAATGACTGTTTCCTGAGCACATTTCATGTGGAAAGCACCTGCAAAGGTATTGGTGAAATAAAAGAAGATTGACCTAGAATAGAAATAGAATAGAAATAGAAAGTTGTGCTGATAGGATTCAGAAAGTGATACTCTCTAATTCACTTCACCTCTTGAAGAGCCCTCTATGTTCAATAAAGTTTATATAGTTTGTATTGGAAAGCTTGGTCCTAATACTCTAAGGCCTAACATTGTGATAAACTAGTAATACGCTTCTATTCTTTGTGTCTTGGGCAAAATATTTTAGGAAGGACACACAGGCCATCCTATTGAGTATCAGTAGAGTTTACTTAAAAACTATAGACTTTCAGAGCAAGAGAAATAATGACCTTCAAGTGTGAGGATAGGCAAATGCAGAGATGGCAGTTGCACTGAATGGGGTCGCAGGTTACTTTTAAGTGACAAGATGAGGCTTTCAAGGAATATCCTTTCCTTCCCTTGAGACCATTTTTCTTGTAAGAGGAAAACTAGCTGTGGCGATCTACTTCAGAGAGGCAAAGGTATCTTTTTACTCAATAAACACATGATTTCTTTTTATTTTGAGACACTGAGGTTTTTCCAGACCATTGCCTATGCTCTGGACTTTGTAGAAGCCCTGGAGGTTATCAACATGCTCAGAAGATAGGAAAATTTCATGGGCTGAATATTAAAATCATTACGATATACCCATAATCTCACATGTCCACAGGGGCAGTTCACCAGATGGGGGGAGTGACTTAGAATAATGTACAGTTATCCTTAACTCCTCCCTTCTCTCTCTTTTTGGCTGCTATGACATCAGCAGCTTTCCTCCACTGTACTTTTCCATGCTGTTCTGACGATGGACTGAATCCACTGAAACTGTAAACCAAATTATATCTCTTCTTTGAACTACAGGTGTCAGATACTTTGTTCCAGTGATGGGAGAGTGACTAATATAAAAAGGTGGTATGAGCTTTTGCCATGGGAGCATTGCTGAAACTGTATCTGATCATGTGGTTCAGAAGTCTTTGTAAATGGTTTGAAATGGGTAGAGAAGTCATAGAATGTTGTGCTCAGTGCTGGCTGTGCAGTACCTGTCAGAACTCAGAAGATAATAATTTAAATACTGAAGGCCAGGATCAAGCAGGTTCAGTTGGGAACATGGGGTCTATTTAGAGTTGGATTAGAGGCCATGTGACTAAAAATTTTTCTTATGTCCTCAGATTTTGCAGAAATTAGGAATGGTGGACTAATTATTTGAACAAAGCAGAGGACATTTCAAGGAAGTCTAATGTTCAGGCATGGGTGCTATTGGCTGCTTTTAACCTGATTTATGATGGGAACCAGAGTCAAAATAAACTGCAAAAATGCAGAAAATCTTCTTGGTGGACACCACGAAAATGCTGGTAAAGTTGTTCCTGATGAAATCTTGGATGCTGAAAAGATTAACACTAAATAAAAGCTAAGTACTTTAATAGTGACAAAAGAAAGATGTGTTGGGGCATCTGAGAAAATAGCAAGGTCTCATCTGTCATATGTTCAAGGGTGCCACAATGAAATCCTTCCTTTTGACAAGAGGATCCTAGGGACACTACCTTATTCAGGATTGTCTACAAAAGTAAATCCCTGAGTTCAACCACCCAGGCAATGGGAGGCTATGGTTGCTATGATCCAAGGGAGTCTGTCTACTTCTCAATCTTGACATTATCCACATGGTGCTGGATTTTTAGGCATATGGAATACAAGAGTGATGGGGTCATGGAGGCTTCCCCCAAGATTTCAGAGGAAAATTTGAGAGCTGCAAGTAAGTGGTAGTCTACATAGTTCCTCTCAGGAGTCTACAAGAAGGCAGTGCATGAAGCTGTCAGAGTGAAGTCAATGGTACAGTGAAGAATTGGTAGAGGATGGAACTATCACTAATCAAGTTTCAAAGAGGTACACCAAAGAGGAGATGGGAACCTCAACTTGCTCCAGATTGGTTCTTGATTATTTTCATAGAAAACTGTTTCATAACTCATTAGAGAGAAGCAGAGGCAGTTTTATTAGGCAGGGTTAAGTAAGAAGAAAAAGGTAAACATCTTTCAGCTAGGCTTGAGGATCTGAGAGGGGCACAACTCTCATGACAAGGATCAGATTGGGCCATTAATAAAGAAGTAAGACCAGCTTCTATGGATTGGTGGATTTGGACTGCAGTCTAATTCATCATTAACATGGGTCTCTCAAAAAGTCCTTCTCACTTAATTCAGTCCCCATGAGATGATTATTTCTGCTTGGAGATGTCTCAGTTTTGTGTAAGCTTTTCTGAAATCCAAGGTGACTTACAGGACTAAGGCAATAGCTGGGGACTTCTGAGTATCATTGGTAGCTGAGTATTTCTGTGAATCTATTATCTTGATGTCCTCAGTCTTGAAAGGGATATAAGATTATGTAAATTTAGGACTCAGAAACTTTGCAGCTTTTATAAGACACTCCCTTAATAATGAATCTGCCTATAAGGCAGAGTTGAGAAGGAATCTGACCCAAAGATATAAGATGACAAAGGAAACCCATACAAAATAAAGATCCATCTTTATTTGTAGTTACTTTTGGGATAGGAGAGAAGGGTGAATGAAAAAGTATGGCAACTCAAGGCTTTTAGACCTACTGATGAATAGAAACCTCAGGAGGGCAGGATGAATTACAGCATTTTGTTGGATGAGTATGATGGCACAATAAATTTCTAGCCAGGTATAATAGTATCAAAAAGAAAGTACAAAGGCACATTCCCAAGAAGCTTGGTTCCAGTTTTGTCTTTATGACCTTGACCAGCAGCATCCTGAAGGCAGGTTGCAAAGAAGTGAGACAGAACACGAGGGCTTGGCAAATTGGTCATGGGCATGACTTGTCAACAACCGAGATCCAGGCAATACACAGAAACAATTTCCAAAACTCTGCTCTGAGACCAATCAGACAATGTTATCTTCAATTCTTCTCATGATAATGCAATTGGGTTTTTGATAGGATGAGCTAGAATCAGTGACTACAAACCTTGTAGAGCTTTTAGTGACACAGCGTTCCACTGCTCCATGTGTGCTATAGTTTCATGACCATTGGCAAGGTCAGCCTGAGGAGTGGGAGATATGCCAGATGGCCAGTATTTACTTTGTGTCCACTGGGCTCTCTATTGCAGTGTCTGCCCTCACCTGGTAGAGTGGACTTCTTTTCCTACTTTTGATTGGACTGTACTTGCTCTGCAGACCATGTTTCTTTTCCTAATTTTAATAAATGTAAAACCTTGTTACATGTTTATTTTGTTCAATTCTTTGTTCAAGGCAAGAAGAACCCAGAAAAAAACTGTAGAACTCAAGCACCTGGTAAGAGCGGGATGCCAGCTCAAGGCTTGGAACATCTTGAGCCAGGTCGCAGTGGCAGATTAGCTGTAGGATCTTTATTCTTCTCCCTCAGTGCCCACTGTATGTTCTTTACTTCTTGGACTCCATGTACACTCTCATGGGGTGTTCCTGCCAAGAGGGAAGATGGGACAGGCTCTTGGCCACTTCCTTCTGGACAGGCCAGCCCCAGGACTCAAAGAAAGGCACCAGATTCTTCTGCACTGCTTCCGAGAACTTTTTCACCCATAGATTCATCTTGCCATCCTTGTCTTTGGGGAGATCAGAGAGGGTCTGGTAGTCAGCAAAGAGCTGGGTGAATGGCTCCCATCCAAAAGCTTCCTGGAGCTAAAGGAAGAGAGAATCAGCTTTCAGGTTTGCTAATGTAGTTGCAATATGCATGCTGGCAAGTATATTTATTTTACAGTGAGGAATTTCTTTCCCTTCATCATTAGCTTCACTTTTATTATTTATCTCTGTCTCCTCACCCTACAACTACACGTACATTCAACATTACTGGTTTATTTCATCTTTTACCCATCAAATCATATACACTTGAATCTAGTAGTGAGGCTCATGAAACCCTAATGCCTAAATTGAATAAAGGACAATTACCATTATCTTTAATTTTTAAAAGAATCCACAGCTCTTAAGAGTTTATTTTAGCATCAAGACAGATTTAAGCCTGACTGAGATGAGACTCCCTCACAGCCTTATATATGCAGCCTCTTAGGACCCCAAAAGCTAGTAAACTTCAACATTTTTCAGGCAGTAAAACAGTCTTTGTAAAAATAGCTCAGGCCTCCAAGTGTCTGCAGGTACTATATTACTGTGTGAGACACTGCTTTTAGAAATATCTTAAGGATTTAAAAACAAGTATGACTTCTATTTCACAGAGGAACATTACAGAATTTTTGCAATGGCAGAAATCTGAGTATTTCCCAGCCCCATTCATGCTTTTAAAGTTGAGAAAAAAATATCTACATCTGGGGTACAAAGGTCCAAGAACAGATGGAATATTACAGCAAGCACCCTCAGAATCTCATGACTCCTCTTATTTCTCATTTGCTATAGCTCTTCTGGATTCTGGTATTTTATTCATCAATGCATCAACAAATTAAACATTCATTAAATATATCACATTCATGAGCTGCCTGCCATGTGCCAAATATTGTACAAGGCAAAAAAATGGTGCAGGAGTCCTGACCCTCTAGGGGTACCCTTCAGTGGGAGGGACAAAGATGTAAACAGACCAATGGCTAAAAAGGTTGGCTTCCTGAGGAGATGATGTCCAGGGAATAGACAACAGAGCTGAACTTTGACAGGTGACTTGATGGGTAACAGACAAGGTGTTCCAGCGTGTTTCAGCAGCAAGAGGGACACACGGGGAGCTCAGAACCTGAAACAGCCAAATGCACTCATGACTGCAAGCAGCGCTGTCTACTGGAGGGAAATAGGAGGAGGAGGAAATCAGAAAATATGAGGATGAAATGTTAGCAAAAAGTCCTACATCTACGAGCAGCTTTAACTTTATCCTGGGCATGAAAAAGAATAATTTAAGGGTTTGAAAGATGAAAACTAAGCTCTATTTTGGGAGTGATATGGAAGAAGGATTGGGGGTGCTGAGGCAACATGTGGAACAACTTAGAAGGAAGCTACTGCATGAGACCAAGAGAAGAGTGATGAGAAGCTGAGCTAAGGAAGGCATCAGCATCAAGAATGTTGAGGAGACGTTTAGGAGGTGGAGGAAGGTGCTTGTCTTAAAGCTGAGTCTCCAAGATGTTAGTAGGTCTCTCTATCGCCCTGGTGAACTGGTGTGCAGGCTTCATAGCAAGAGGATAGATGGACAGGGCAGACTTAGGGTTTTACACATCAGTACAAATCTATGCTGTGGTTCTGCTGCCCAGCAGACCATCAGGCTGGTTATGTCGGAAATGAAAGCTGGTGTAATTAGAGTTACCCACTGACCGGGGACATCTCACATTTACTCATCAGAAAATTAGTCACAGGAAAAGAATCAAAAAGGTTGTGAAAGTACGAAAGCCTGGGACGTGCTATTTACTCCAGATTTCAAGTTCTACATCTGTCACTTCAATAGGTACTATGGACAGGCTGCGTAAATTCTTTTTAATTCTGTAAAAAGTGGACCATACAACATCTATTGTTGGGATTGCAGAAGACATCACAGGGAACGTGATAGAGGGAGTAGTTTTGACAACACAAAAACAGTCAAAGTGAAAGCAAGTTTGGGGAAGGAAACAGGAACTTATGCTTTTCACAGGAAGCAGACTAGCTTCATAATTTTGGTGTTCTCCTTATGGTTTGACTTGGTTATTCATTTTAAAAATACATTTGGTTCAAGTGGAATGATGGAAGTCTGGTAACCTTGCTGGCAGACTTATAGCCTACAATGTCTCTGTGTAATGCAATTGTCCTGCAGACATGTCCTGTAATTATAAAGGGAAGTAACATTCACTTGACTCAAAAAAGTACGATGAGGACAAACAAAAAAAAAGGTTATATACTAAGGAACACTTACTAGGGGACCAAAGACCAAAGCAGTGAATGAAAGAGTTACAACTCAACCTCAGAGCTTCTGCTCTTAATCTGCTCTTAATATTATATAGTATGCTATATAATACAGACAAACTTGTATTTTTTCATTTCTTGTTACACTACAGAGTCATAGGGGATGCGTCATTCTCTAAGGTGGTAACCTTAGAAACAGGACATGCAGTCCAATTTGTCATGCCCAGGGAGGTGGTGGTCCCAGGATGGCGGGCTGAAAAGGAGTTGGAAGGCGCCTGTGAACAAGGGTGCTACTAATTGCAGGGTCTGGGAGGCTCTCGCTCCCTTCTTTCTGCTCTGTACCTGTAGATATGTTTCCAGAGCTGTCCACACGTTCCAGTCACACAAAGGTGCTCCCTTCTGCAGGTATGCTTTGATCCTCTTCTCTCGTTCTGGAGGGCTCAGGGCAGGGTGGGCCTGTGCCCTGGGGATACCCAGGACTGTCTCATGCACATAGACTGACCAGAGGTTGCAGGTGGCCTCTGTGGTGTGTGGGGGGAACTCCCACCCAGCCTGCTGCTGGTTGTGGCCCAGTTCGTGAATGGGTCCCCACAGGCCTCTGCTTCTCATGCCCGCCTCATTGATGAGCTCCTCCACAGACTCCAGGTGGCACATAATAGGATACCCTGAGTGCATCCAGCCTAGAAACACAGAAAGGAGAGATGAGTCACAAGGCTTGGAGTCACCCCAACCTTCTTGCTTCCTCTTCCCCACTGTGGAACTTTTCCTCAACATTCTGGTTGTCCCGAGCAATTTCAGGATCTCTGTGCTGACTGAAAATTCAATGGCCTTTCTATGGTACTTGATTCCTTTCCTGTCTCTACCATCTGAGCTGTACGCTTCTCGTTCTGACCTTGAATAATATGGACACACTGTACATGATCTTCATTTTCAACTCTGAATTACGTTTTAAGGAAGTAGTTCCCTTTGTATGAGCTCCTTGAAATGACCCTTACTGATAACTGTGAACTCTTGCACTAATTTTCTGAGATCACTGTAACTATCTGGTGAAATCTTACTTGGTAGGCATTGCTGATTTTCCTGAAACATCTTTCATCCCTATCATAGTCTCTATTTCTCATGTCTTTTTTCCTTACTTATATAATTATGCTTCATATATCTCGGGCATTAAAAGAAAGTCAATATAATAAATACCTGTCGGCTCCTGACTTGGAGCATTCCCTGGGGGAACCTACCAGCTGAGATTTGCACGTCAGCAACAATTCTCTCAGGTCTACGGAAAGGAAAGGGCTGGGCTGCCAGCCTGGCGATAGCCTGCATCATCTCATCCCAAAGGCAGAGCACAGGTGCTGGGTCTGTCAGGGACTTGAGGTTTGCAGTTGGCACAGTCAGGATGATATTATCAGTGGCCAGCTCTCCCCAAGGGGCTGGGCTCCCCTCAATACGGCTTCTCCACTCCTCCTGCGATGTCTTTCCTAGGAATAAACACCATGAAAACGGTAACCATTCCCCCGGCTTTCATTGAACTGGAAAATGCATCTTGAACTCTAGGAGAACACTGATAGAATGAATTACTACCTTGTGGGTCTATAGGCTGAGACGAAGGATAAGCTTCCAGAACCCTCCCTTTTTTCTGCCCTGAAGTCTCCATACACATAGGATGTTTCCTATGCCCTGTCTGCATGTCCACTTCTAATAGTTTTTCTTTTATGTCTGTGGACGCTTCTTCCTATCCTTCTCTCCCACAGGGACAAGAGTCTCTGTGATGTGGGGGTGAGATTGTGGGTGGAGAGTGCTAAAAGTGAAATTCCCACCAGGCATGCACTGTACCTCTTTCTTGTTACTCCAGAATCTAGTTCACTCACCTAGCTTGTAGTAAGGGGCAGGCACAGCCCTCCTGAGGGTGACAGGCACGGGTCCCAGTTGACTGCCTTTGGGCACAATGACATAGAGGAGGCCACCCCACAGGCAGGGGACTAACTGTTGGGTCTTGTCCATACAGCACTGGTGAGTCACCACAGGGGCTCGAGACAGCTTGCTGGCCGTGGTCAGGTCATCGGTGTGGCAGCCAATCTGTATCTGGACGGGGGATTCTACCATGTGTCAGGGACCAAGAGCTCCTGTGATAGGGAGCTGGGGTTCTGATGGTGGAGAGAACTAAACATGGAACTCAGTTTCCCAACCTATGCAACCGTAGCACCTCAAAGTCATGGACTAAAAGTACCTGCCATCCAAAAGAATTTTTGGGGAGGAGATTTAAGTAGCTCCAAGAGGGTCTCCATCAGATATGAGTTGATGAGATACCAGGCAGAACCCAAGGCTCAGAGGGCCTTATGGTGGGTTTTTCCTAGGTGGAATCCTGGGCTGTTACATGAGGCATAAACAGTGTGGCAGTCCTAATGCTGGGAATGAGCAGGGAATCCTGGACCACTTCGTGAGGACACAGGGAGCCTGTCCTGGGGCAGGAAATTCTGGTTTTAAGGGCAGAGGATAGATTCTCTCCTTTCCTGTTTTGCCTGGAATGGGGTTACCTTTCTTACATTTGATGTAAGTGAGCTCTAGAAAAAATGCTGACTCAAAGGAGCCTTAACTATAGTGGAAACTATACTCACAGTTAAAGGGTAGAACTTAAACTCTACGTAAGGCATATTTTTGTGGGTGACAGGATTAAAATGCTCTTCAGTGTTGGGGTGAAGAAGTAGAATCCAGAAACCTGTGCTACTGGGAAAATTGGGAAGAACTAGCATTTAACAGGTGCTGCTCTTCCTTGTTTGTGTCTGTAGATAAAACTATCACAAATGGGAATCAGAAAGCTCATGAACAACGCACTCTGGATCTGACATTAGGAGCTGGGATTAGGCTGTATCAAATTTAGTTCCTTCAACTGTACAATCTCAGTCGGGCAGCATGATGACTCCTTGCACTACTAGACTGAGACAGTGGGTGAGAAAGAGGTAGCTGTGTGTTTGAGGAAGACATTGCTTGAGTTTGGCCTTACCTTTAGGCCAGCAGAGGCAGCAGCTTCTGACAGGCAGACTTCGACATTTTGTCCTTCTAGGAGGTAGAGCCCAGTGCTTACCCAGGAGTCACTGTTGCCTGATAAGTCATAAAGAAAGCTAAGTTTTCTGCTCTTACGTGACTTCAGCCCATGGAGTCTTATAGCCCCTTTCACAGGAACGGTTTCTCCCTGTTTCACTCCATTCATCCATGCTTCTTGGACTCATCCTTCCTAAAACTTAAATAGAACCCCAAATGCCATCTTCTTGAAAACACCTGATAAAGTACAGAGCCAGTCTTCCTGAGGATCAGCACCTGCAAGTTTCTGCAAAAAAGGCCAATCCCACCTTTCCTGCACACCAACATATTCAGGGCACTTTTTACTCCTTCCATACCTGGGTTGGTTCCATCAATCTCCACAGTGATAGGGTCTTTGGAGGGATATGGCCCAGAGGAACAGGTCCAAGTGCCAAGGCCATGGCCCAGCTGAGAGAAGTCAGTTCCAGAATGTACCAGCTCTGTGGCCAGGCAGAGCATTGTGGCTTCGCAGGAATCACTGGCCACTGGGTTTTTCTGGCTCACAGCTGGGAGGCCTGACTGTTGCAGCATCTTCTTCATGAACCTGTGCAAGGATATATAAGCAGGGACCCCCTCCGCTGGGATCTGCAGGAAGGCCGCGCCATCTACTCTCAGCTTTGCCAGACAGTTCTTTTCTACTTTATCATCCTCATGGTTCAAACTCGCCTGGAAATCAGACATAGCCTTGCGGAAGTGGTAGCTCCTCATCTCAAGAGTAGGGACAGGAAAACAGCCTGGGCTGAGGGACCGAGGCAGGATGCAGAGGCCAAAGCAGTTGAGGATACCATTACCAGGAAAACCAGTCAAAGCAGAGCGGCCTGGGTTTTGGGAAGCCCACCACCAGGCTTGCCCGCCAATCAGCAAGCCCCCACCCTCAGCCACAAACTCGTGTAGTTCTTTGGCCTCCTTGGCACTGTATGCTGTACAGCAGTACACATTCAAGTCACTGGTCAGATGAGAAGCCAGGCTGCATTTCAGGCCATGCTCCAAGAGTAGTGAATGCAGATTTTTCAGATTTCTGTTCACCCCAACTTTGCCTGTCTGACCTCTGGCTAGCCAGCGGATAGCATTGAACAAAAAGGGTCCCAACTTAGGAGCACAAAGCATTGCCTCATGGGCAGCCAGGACCACTCGGCCACGGCCGTAGTGGGCAGCTGCCAAGAAGCAGGCGAGGGAAGCATTAAGTCCCACAGGGAACGCCAGCGCCCCATGCACCAGCAGCTGTGAAGGGACTCCCCCCGTCTTGATGTCCAGCTTAGAGATCCCTTCCAGGAGCTGCTGCTGGGCCTGCTGGAGCTCCTCCCAACACCTGCAAAAGAGATGAGTGGTAAACAGGCTACAGGCAGCTAATGAGTCCCCAAACCAGTTCAGTGAATGGTGAAAGATCACATAATTCAGCGCAATCTTTTCCTTCCTACCATTTGGGATTTTTAGCTTGTAGTGCCATTTATTTGGTCAAGTCTAATGTATATTTTCCACCTTCTTACAACACACTGCATATGACTGTTTAGAAGGCTGTGCTGGCACATGTGAAATGCTGCCACTTCTCACGACTGTGCTTGTCATAGGTTTGCAGAGGGAGGTAGTGGCTTTATCTCCATTCGTAAGACTCACACTCTCCAAATGATGACTCCAGGAATCCTTCCCAATTAGTCAGCTAAGCTTCGAGCAGTCTGGTTTGAATTTTATATTTTCAAGATAATTAAACATATAAGTAAATTTAGAAAAACTATTATATTATTTCTACAGAAAGCAATTCTGAACATCAATTTGTATTTTCCTTGCACTCACTACCTCTGTACCAAGGACACATAGGTAAATTGTTTCTTATTACACTTGGAGATTTATGCACACTTTCTCTAATGCACAGTGCATTAGAGAAATTCCACAGTGATTCTCATTAATTTGCAAAATATGTGTCAATAAATACAATACAAATATAATTTAAAAAGCAAGAACTTTTCCCAACTGAATATTTATGTGGACAATTCAAATAAAACTGTATAAAATAGTATTATTTTAAAAAATACTTAAGTCTGGTGCAGTAACACTTACTACTTTTTTGAGAAATAACCAAAATATAACAAATTAGGAAAGCTTTTGTATTTCAAAAAATTTTAAACCAAATTTTTGGTTCACTAAGTGTTAAAGAATGGAGATTAGCTAAATAAATTTTTATTAACCATATATCACATGTCATGTAATAATCAAAGTAATTATTAGGCCACATTAGAAAATATTTAATGAGGAAAATTTAAAAATTAGATTCTAAGATATTATTCTCCAATAAGTTGACTTTTGAAAAAAAAAAACCTCAATACCACAAAATCAGATATAGAAACAGGATCTGAACCAAATTTATCAAAATACCTTCAGCAAGTACCTTTGATTAGTAAGGATATGAGTTATTTTAATTAGCTTTATATAACTTCAAAGTCTCAGTGCTTAAAATCAAATCTTTTAAATGAAAAACTGTTATTTTTAAAAACCAAAATAGTTTTTTCAAGTACTGAATATTACCAAACAATTTACCCCTTACACAGATACTTTTTCCTTAATTAATCTTCAGCATGAAAATGAGTAGCTAGATATTAGATATTACTTTTTTTTTTTTGAATTTGCAAAATTCCTAAGGTTATCCTGCAACTTGTTTCTTCCGGTAGAGAGTCAAACTGCCTCCTGGGAGATAATGACACTGAGGTAAACCCATGCTAATAAAACATCCCCCTGCAAGTGTCCTTCGTGAATATCTCTTGACAGCTAATGGCAGTAAGTCTCAGCTCATGGTAGGAAACTTTCAACCTGGAAAGCGGCGGTAAAAGAACTGGGTCACCTGAAGTCTTGTGCCCATAAACATCTGGAACTGCTGCGAACTGGTGAGCAGGTCATGGCATGGACTCTGGATTTTGACTGGTCAAGGTGTGACACTTAGGCTCACAGAGGATTATCAGGCAACACTGCCTGATAATCAAGTCAGTGTTTGCTCATGTGTTTCTGGGATGTTTAATAGCATCAATAAGTTAGCTAATGCACAACAAGTACATTTTTTAACACGTTAGTGATTACTTAACATACATACACAGAGTATCTGGTCACTTCACAGCTGAAAAACAGGGGCTTTAATACTTAATGGTCATTGGTATGGGTTGAATTATATTCCTCAGGAAAATTTATTTTTGAAGTCCTAACCCCCAATACCTGAGAATATAGATCTTATTTTATTATTATTATTGTTTGTTTGTTTTTTGAGGCAGGATTTCATTGCATAACACAGGCCAGCCTTGAACTCACTAGGTAGACTGGCCTCAAACTCACAGCGACCCTCCTGCCTCAGTCTCCTGAGTGCCAAAATTACAGGCATGTACCATAATGGGCTTGGACATTATTTAGAAATAAGATCACAGATAAATGAGGATAAAGCTACACCACAGTAGTGTGGACTGCTAATTCTGTATAACAGGTGTCCCTACGAGACCTGGAAATAGACACACAGAGGCAGAATATCATGCAGAGAAGGCAGAGATGGGGAACATGCTCCCACAAAGAATGACGAACAGTGCCAGCAAAACTTCAGAAGCTGGGAGAGAGACATGTAGGAGATTCTTCTACAGTGCTCAGAATTCATTTCACATAATCTTTACCTAGAAACTCTGCTTGCGAATCATACTGGAAGGACATAATTATAGAATGGTGAACTTATAGATATTTGATAGCAAAGTAAAAAAGCAATTAGTGACCTCCGACTGTGTTCCTGTTGCTTGTTTCATAGTTAGCCTGCTAAATTCAGGCAGCCTTGACTGTCTGTGTATAGCTGCTTCTCTCTGATAAAACACTAGGTCAAACTTTTTCCTTACTTAGAAGAATAAATACGTTCTTCATTACTGTATTTTTCCTTACTTGTATTTTTCCTTACTTAGAAGAATGTATTTTCCTTACTTAGAAGAATAAATATGTTTCCAGCGTGCTTTAAGAACTTCATGTTTAGGGCTGGGGATTTAGCTCAGCGGCATAAGCACCTGCCTTGCAAGCAGGCAGTCGTGAGTTCGATCCCTGGTACCAATAAAAATGAAAAAGACAAAAAAAAAAAAAGAACTTCATGTTTGGGACAGACTGGCCCAATCAAGGACATAACTTTACTTGCTCTGCTCAAGTCCTTTCCTCTCCTCTCCCCCAGGATGGTCCTACATTATGGTAAGCAATTTCTTTTAAGTAAATCTATTTAGAACTAGCTTGTTTGACAATCTGTGCCTTAAGTCACGTAACCAATCATGCAATAACCTGCTATTAGCTTTGTACTTTCTTCTTGCAAATTATATTTAAACTGTACTTTAATCTGACTTGTGGCTGATGATTTGGAATAATTCCCACCAGTCCACCAGTGTTAGATCAATAAATGTTGCCTTCTAGACTCCTCGGTACAAAGAGTCTTCCAGTTTGGTTTGATATTAGTTTTTCTACAACAAAACTAAATACAGAACTGGAAAAAGAGAATTGAGTTGCTTATAATCTGAAAGTCCTTGAACAAAGACTTTTCTGTTGAACAGCACTACAGTGAGGGTAGAGAAATATCTACTCTTCAAGAACTGCCAAATCTGAGCTGCCAGTATGTGTTTACTTTTCTAAGAGCAGTTTCTTACATGTTCTAGACTGTAGAGATTACACAGTGTGTAAGAATAAGGAGCTTTTGATAATCTTAGCTGAAATTTTCTTCCAGACTGTGTCTTGGTTAAATGCAGCCACTGTCTTTGCATTTGCCTTTGAATATTAAAGTAATTGAAGCATTTGTCTCAGTTATGTAAGCAGGTTCAGTCAGCTCCTGCCCTTGGGGACAGGACAAGAGAGAATCCTTTTTTGGTTTTAGGTGGTGTAGAGAACTGTTCCTTTACAAAACTCAAAGTCTTTCTGGAGGGGTTGGAAGTAAGGAAGATTGGTGGATCAGTCAGGGGACTTGGCAAAGACTTGGTGACAGGAAAGTTCACTGAAAAATTCAATGAGCCCATTCTTATGAAGGAGGTAGGAATCTTTTGGAGTTCAGAATTCAAAGGAGCGGGTCAACTGTGGCTCATTTGTGTGCAGAAACTGAAACCTCTGGCACCGAAGTCCAGAGCATGATATGGTCTGTGGTTTACTGCTAGGAAAACAGGCTACCCTTTCTCTTGTGAAATGCATTGTGATTCAGATGTCTCTGCTTAAACTACTGAACTCTGCCTTGGTCATTTACAAGCAGCTAGAGGGTGAATAGCAGCTCCTCTACTCCAAGCTTTATCCTCGGTTAGCTGTGCTCTTATTTCCAAATAAGCTCCATATTCTCAGGTATGAGGGGTTAGGACTTCAAAAATAAGTTTTCCTGTGAGCCACAATTCAACCTATTCCCACAATCATTAAGTATCAAGGCCCCCAGTTTTCAGCTATGAAGTCTCAGGTCACCAGTTAAACACTTACTGTACATGTACGTTAAATAATCACTAATGTGTTAAAAGATTACTGTGAATAGGCATGGTTATATTTTAATAAAGGTTTATTTAAAAACATAGGGCGCTGGCCCATAGGTCTTAGTTTGTCAATTCTGGTGTAGAATCTAGAACCAATGTCCAGTTTATAAGAAATACAGGAGAAAAAGGAATAGAGTATATTAAATGCCACCAGGGGGATTCAATCAGCAAACTGGAAAACTGTTGGCTAATGGAAAACTATTTGGGATAGATTTTTTTTCGGCTTTATTGAGACAGGGTTTTGATACCCATTTCAAGCTCACTGTGCAGTCACTTTGTAGCCCAGGCTGGGCTTAAATTCTCCTCCTGCCTCAGCCTCCCAAGTGCTGAGATTGCAGATATACACACCCCAGGATATATTGTCTTGTGTCTTTAAAAATTTAAGGAAATCAAAACTTGGAAAGGAAAATCAGATTTTTATGAGCCATAAAAGTCCTATCAAGAAATCAAAACATTTGAATTTACTTAAATACCAATGCCAACAAAATTTTTAAAGTTATATGACTACCATGGAAGTGAACACTAAGGTATTGTTCTTTTAGATGTGGTAGTGGTACTTTGTAGCTATGTTTTCAAGACTTAATGTTTTTAGAGATTTACACTGAAGCACCGATAGAATGATGTGGTGTCTGCTTTCTGCCTCAGAGTGGTCTGGATGGAGAGTGGTGGGACTGTGTGAGAAATAAGAATGACCAGTTGACTATTATTGGGGTTCAGTAATGGCTGTACAAGGGTACAATGCACTGTTCCCTCTACTTTTGCGAGTTTGAAGCTTCCACAATTAAACATTAAAAAAATGCCCAATATGCCTCAGGTTCAGTTGCAGAGATGAAAAAGGTAAAGATAGATGAAGAAAAACAGGTTTTATTTGCTGAGGAGTCTTTTTTTAAGAAAGTTTTTTTGAATAAGGAGATAAGGACATGGCAGGCAGGATGGAAGACAGGTTGTAATCTGTCTATTACAAAGATACAGACCATGGCTGGGAACAGGATATACAACCTGACCTGGAAGGAATGCGACCTGTCAACTACTGCCAGGATGCAAGGGTAGAGCAACTTTTGAGGGACTTTCCAGTTAGGACAAGATCTAAGGAAGGTGTTAAAGGTGGTGGTTATTGACCTTGGCGCCGCTGCAATCTTATTGTTCCCTTGTGTTCTTGTTTCTGCAGTGGCTCATCCTGTTTTCAGGACACATCTCTTCTTGTTTTTCTCTATCCCTTCACTCTTTTTATATCGTTCCTTTCTTCTCATTTCTTCACCTTTCCTTTTTCTTGTTTTGCATTAAATAAAAGTTGTGTTTAGCTGTTCCTTGCTCGTCTCAGCCAATTCTTTGGGTGGGCCAGAAAGAATCTGGAATTTTTAAACACCGTGCCATCCAGCAACACTTTGAGGCCATTAAAAAAGATCATGCTGATGGGGCTTAATCTGAATATTCCTTGACATTAAAAGCAAAAACAAGTTATAGCAAATCAGATTCATTCCAACTTTATCTCCTTCCCAACCCACTTGGAAAAGAAGGACTTTCAACTGTGTCAGGATTTGGGGGAGAGGGTCCAGAGCACTGCTCATGCTCACTCAGTGTTGATCCTTCCCTTCTTCCTATAGCAGAGTCTTGATTTCTTCAGAGACACTAGTACACATTTAAAAATATCAAGACCTTCACATGCCCTGGCAGCTAAAGTTAACCACATAATCTAGTTCTGGCCAGTAAATTATAAATGCAAGTCTTAATGCTTAGAGATTCTAGAAAGTATATAAATTTCTGAATTAAAACAGACAGACCCAGCCTGTGTGTCCATGTCAGCTTATTACTGGCTGAGCATAACTATAATGCCTAGATTGGTACTGGTCACTTTACAGCCAAAGGACAAAGGGACACAGCATGACAAGAGCTGGGGGTAGTAAGCAAGAGATTGAGAGACAATGAACTTGAAGCATCATAGAGGCACAGGACTGCACTACCTACCTGGATTTCATGTCAAGAGTACAGAGACAAAGAAGCTGTATGTTCAATCCAATGTAATACAGCTTTTGTTACAGAGAGACAGAAAAACACAGTGAGTCATTAATATCCAAAATTAAACTACTGATCCATAATCTGTCTTCTCATCATTTTTCAGCATTCAATGAATGGCAAGATGCATCTTTAAATCACTCACCAAAAATTTCAATTTCTCTTTTTTCTTTCTTATTCTATTTTTGTCCATCAGCCAAGACTTCTGGGTCCTATTTTGGAAGCATATCTAGAATTGGAGTTGGAATTGCATATGCATATCCAGAATTGGAGCTCTTCCAAACATGATGACCACCTTAGCCAGGTCAACACCAGCTCTCCTGGGGTTTATTTTGGTGACTTCTGGCTTCAACCTCTGCCTACTATAATCTATTCAACATCATTCTGAGGTTGCCTCTTGAAACACCAGTCAATCACATCAATTCTCTTTATACATTTTCAACTGCTTCTTTATCTCAAGTTAAATAAGATCTATAGTCTTAGCTGTATACCATTGGTTCTTAGACTGAACTCACTTCCAACTGACCCAGCCTTATCGCTCAGCTCCAATTATTCTGGCCTTTTTAATTTTCCAGGAAGATTAAGCTGGCTTCCATATCACACTGGTTTCTATTTGCCCTTCTTGCTCCTTGTTCTACCTGTTTTTTCTTATACATGCACATACGGTTCATCCCTCACTTCTTTAAAGTGTCTTATCAAATGTTACGTTCCAGAGATACATCCCATGCCATCCATCTGCTTGTTCATACTCAAATCCACTCCCTATTCTTTCTGGTCATTTTCTTACATTTCTTTGTGTCCTGCACCCTGGTGTGTTCAGCCCACGGAAGGCATGGACAAAGCAGGAAGGAAGGAGGCCCAAGGAACATATCCTCTTCAGGATGTAACTCTTATAACTACCATGTCTTCTTCAAGACTCCAGCTCTCACCGGCCAGCCCTCCCACCTGTGGCCCAGCCCTGTGGACATACCCAGCATGACCTCAGCATCTACGAATGGCCACAGCCTCTGGACTCTACCACCTCCCTTTCTGTCATTGTTTACCAATGTCTTGTCTGCCCTGTGTAACTTTTAGATTTTTAATCACCTGTACTTTCAATTCTATGTGCTAGATCCCATCTGTGTAAAGCATTGTACCCTGATTCAGTCTAATTGATATTTCTTCCCTGAGGTCCTTAAATAAAATAGACTTTCCTTATCTCCTTCTTATACAACTTCTGTATCCTGCTTTGTTTTCCTCTGTGGCTCTCATCAATACTAGATAGAGTACTCATCTATTTGTCTCCTTAATTACAGAATTCTCCCCTGGAGTATAAGCATCAGGGCATCATTTGTTTGTTTTGGTCTCTGCTAGACTCTAGCCTCTAGAATGAAAAGAGCAGTAAGTACCCACACAATATCCTTTCATCCATTTAAAGAGGCATTAATGAGCACTGTATGTTTCAGGCAGTACACAGGGAGAAAGACTGGTGAACAGGACAGACTTTTCTGTTCATCTGACTATTGGTTTGGCCACGGAGGGATGAGCAGTGAGGACAGGTCTCCATTATGCATTTAATTATACCACTTTGGTTTGTGGTGTTTCCAAACTATATAGAAAATTACTTGTATTCCATTGGAAGCTCACTGAAGAGGAAGAATTAACTCTACTACTTAAAATAAGTCAGAATCTTTAATGGGAAAGTGTCACTCACCTGATGTGAAGTGGGATCTTGGGCACCTTCTTAGAGACTTTGAACCGGCCTCTGTCCCCAGAGACATCAGTGAAGTACACTCCAGCGACACTTGTCACCAGATTCCCAGGGAAACTGAACAGCACTTTGCCACAGCCGTGCTGACTGGCCCACTGGCAGGCCTGGCCCCCAATGAGCAAGCCCCCACCACGTTTCACAAACCGGATGAGTTTCTCAGTCAAGGTGTCATGGTAAGCACTGATGCAGTAAGCCCCTCGGGGCTCCCCAGGTTCTGCCACAGTCTGTGCCTCCACCCCGGCATTCTTCAAGATGTTCACTAGGGGTTCCAAGGATGGGTGCACCCTAGTGGGAGCCTCAGGGTAGACACGGAGCCAAGCCACTGCGTTGGCAAGAAATGGAGCCAAGCCAGCATGCAGCAAGTAGTCTTCATGGGATACGACGACAAGGCGACCCTGGCCATAGGAGGAGGCAGCAATGAGCACCTGGCCCTTGTCATTCACCATCACTGGGAAGGAGGCCTCCCCGATGAGGAGGAGCTCACTGGGGATGGGGTCTTTGGGGACATCCCAGCTTGTTATTCCATTCATGAGGGCCTGGAATGCTTCAGAGGGAGTCATCGCCATGGTTCTATCAGCTGCTAGGAAGAAAACAAATATTTGAGTAGATCAGAACACATGGGGGAAAGTAAAAACAAAACTAAAACTTAAAAACAAAACAAAAAACACCACAGACTATTAAATGCATTCATATCACCAATTTTATGGGTTCTGTACTATGTGCTAAGCACTATGGTAGCATTGGTGGTAAAGCCAGGAACAAAACAGACAAGGCCTCCACTTTTAAGACTCAAATACTTTAGAAGGGGAAAGACAATGAATGAATGGATTGATGCACAGGTAAACAGAATGGAGTAATCACTAATTTTGGGGATAAAAATAAGCATGATGTTAAGATAGGGAGTGGCTGGAGTACTTAAATTGGGTGACAGGAAAGGCCTCTATGTAAGAAAGTGACATTGAAGCCCTGCAGTGGATGAGCATTCAGCAAGACACACACCAGAGCCCAGGAGAGGAGGAACTGGACCTGAGTGTGTGGGAGGGGCTGGATCCTGCACGGGCTGGTAGATAACAGGAGACAGATGATGTGCGGGAACTGAATGCACACGTCAGAACAAACAGGGCTTAGGACTTGCCAGAGGCTGCATTTGTGCTGACAGCCTCCACATGTTTCAGCAATGCCCACTAATTTATCATACCATCCTGAAATGCGCAGTTTCCCTCTTCTAGGCGGCTGGCCGTCTGTGGTTTTTGGAGGGCTTTCAAAAGAATCAGTTCACATGAAACTAAATTCACTGCAGTTCTCTCTTCAGAGCGTTCTTTCTGGATAAATTACTTAGGTCTCGGCTTTCCTATTTACAAAAGAGTAATACCTGTCCTGGGGGGCTGATTTTGGAGATGAGCAGAATACCCATCGCGCACACCTTGTTTCAACTGAGTAGAAGCCAGTGCCTGTCCCTCTACTGCCCTTTCTAGCTTCCCCAAGTGAGGTGGGCAGTGTAGTTGGTGGTGCTCCCGCCCCTGTCTTATGTATGCCTTGCAGAGAGCTCCGTGCCTTCCGTAAGAACCCTAATATGAATCCTCACGTTTCATCCACCGCGCACTAGGTGAAATCTGCATTGTTTTCCTCTTATTTTAATGTGTCCATGTATGGCACTCCACATTTCCCTGTCATTTTACTGTGTCCCCAGGCCTGGGCATGCCTGAGGACACCCCGCATTTCTCATGGAATTCACCTTCTCTCCCCACTCCTGCTCCCCGCCTATGGCCTCTGTCATAATATTGCTCCAGACAATGAATTCACAAGCCAGCACGTGAGCGACTGGCAACTCAGAGTTTAGAGGGGGACGGAAGGGCAGAGAAGACAAGAGATGGGGAAGCCTGAGCTCAAGATCTTGTTAACCACTTTTGAGAAGATGAGCAATCTGACTGAAAAACTAACAAAAGCTCTAGATGAGTAATCTGTCCCAGAAAACAGCACAGCATCCTGAAACAAATGCGTTTGCACGCTAGCAGACAAACACGTTTTGTCAAATTCCTGGCTAGATTTCTAAGAGGAGAGAGAAACAGTTTGGAGTTAAAGGGCAAGTAGCACCAGATGAAAGAAACGAAATGAAAGTTCAGACCTCAGACGAGAGACATCAGATCGCCAGGAAGGCATGGCCACCCTGCTGGCACCATGGGGCGTCCCTCATCTTCTCCCAGGTGCTCCGCCCCTCACCCTGACCCCAGTACTTGAACGACTGAAAAACTCACATTTTGCCAGCAGAGGTCCCCGGGGACTGGAGTTGCTGCAGGGAGAATTTCCGGAGGTGGGGAGGGAGGTCCAGGGACCGAGCTACTCAGGGGCGGAGCTACCCGGGGCGGAGTTACCCGGGGCGGAGCCACCCAGGGGCGGAGCTACCGGGGCGGAGCTACACCGGGGCGGAGCTACCCAGGGGCGGAGCTACCCAGGGGCGGAGCTACCCGGGGCGGAGTTACCCGGGGCGGAGCTACCCGGGGGCGGAGCTACACAGGGGCGGAGCTACCGGGGCGGAGCTACACAGGGGCGAGGCTGTGCAGAGCCAGAGTAGGGCGGGGCGACGCGGAGGGTCGGGGCTGGGGTGGGCCCAGGCTGCATGGAGGGGCGTGGCGTGGGTGTGGCAGTAGTGTGACGGGAGGTCTCCCAGTCCTCGCCTGTCCACTACTTTACAGTTCCTCTCTTTTCTCTACACCGCGGGATGGCGGCTTCACCCTATCCGGGTGAGCATCTGTGAAAGTTGTCACACTTAGTGAGAAAATCATATTTCAGATCTCCAGTGAAACTAGATTCGGGGAGAACGGTCCCCCTTCGACACTGTAACCCTTGGCCGGCATGAGAGCGGTTGGCTCCTGGCGCAAGTCCTGCCAAAGGCCCGCTGACCCGAGGCGAGCAATGCCCTCTGGTGGTCAGCACTGGGCAGAGCACCCAGGGAACAACCTTGAAGACTGGATTTACAGGTTGTGAAGGAAAAGGCCAGCTGCCTGTGACGTCACCAAAGCAGACCCCCAACTAGACTGAACTAATTAAGCTGCAGCTTAGAGTGGCTACTGCTTTAATTTTTGCCCAAAGGGATCTGAGGGTGAAAGTGGAGGAGAAAGGGAAGCCGATTTGTCTGGAATCTGCGTCTGCGTGGCTTTTTATAGAGTATACACTATTTTTACTTTTATGGTGGCTTTTTATAAGCGTTATTTAAAAACAACAGTTCTCTAGAAATATTCCCCCTGAATTTAAACATGCGTCTGAGTCCTCGTTCAAAGTTATTCCAGTGTTCACTGCTGATCATGTCAGCTCCCTTCATGTAACCAACCACAGGATGGCTTCGGTCAGCCTGGAATCCTGCCCCAGGCAGGGGACCTGCGTGCCTGGCCCCTGTGCCGTCTCCAGCATCACTTGACATCATGCTTCCTCTTTTCCCCTCTACTCCACCACGTGCATTTCTCGATTTTCTTTATGGGATGCACATCCCTCCGGTCTATCAAAGTGAAATTTTCTCTAAAAAACATTGTTTTTTGTTATTTTAGCTCAGTCATCATTTTCCTGGGAATGACTTCCCACCTGCCACACTATACCAAACTTTCGTGGTGACTACAGGAGCCTCTGCTTCTTACTTCTTACCCATGTGCAATTTTACATTTATCTGTGTGACTGTTGGTTTCCATTGCCTTCATTTATCAAGCTGTAGTGTAGAAAGTACAGTCTGCCTGGGTTTTATTGATTGGTCTTATTGCCTCCTTTTATTACACATATTGGCTTAGTTTCTTAATAAATGCATATATATGTGTGTGTGTGTGTATATATATATATATATATATATATATATATATATATGTAATGAGTGTTTAAAAGATGTTTCCTGAATCAGCAAGTAAATAACTGACTCTTTGAAAGACTGGAAAATAACTAAATGCATTCGCATTTCAGAAAGAATGAGCTAGAGGAAAGTGCCACAAAGAAGACACTTTGCACATGACCTGGTAGAATTTCAGGATGGGGCAAGCTGGAAATCTAATGTCAGGTCAAGTAACTGGAGTTGTCAGCTTTGTGCCAGGAAAAAGCTGAGCTTTGAGAATGGAGATAAGAGATGGACTCCAAGAAGTGGGTCAGGAAGGCTCCGCCTGGAAAGCCAAGCCTAGCGTCTCTTTTGTGTGCTACAGCTCTTAGATTTTCACTAGCCTCTACACACAACAACCTCATTGCTAGCGATAGTGTATTACTTCTGTTCTCAAAAGAAAAGACCTACTTCCAGGATCAGAGTGCAGAGGCAGGTGTGGCAAGACCAAGATACATGTTATCTGGGAGCACTGACAGGACAGGATAGGACAGGGTAGGATAGGGTAGGATAGGGTAGGATGGGGTAGGATGGGATAGGATAGGATAGGATAGGATAGGATAGGATAGGATAGGATAGGACAGGACAGGACAGGACAGGACAGGACAGGACAGGATGGGACAGGATAGGTGAGGATGGAATGGAACGCAGGAACAGTGCAGGAGTTTCTGTAAAAGGAAGGGGTGAAAAATAGTGACCAGAATGATTCTGACTTAAGAATCATTGCTCATGTGAATGGGAAAACTTCAGACCCTTTCACTTATCTCCAGCAGATGTTTTAGTGAACATCAGCCCGTTCTCAGTGGACACAACCTCTTGGAGGCACTGTGGCAGATGGAAATGATTCCACTGAAACTGGTTGTTTGCTGTGTTCCACATACTCAATGTATATTAATAATATTATACATGATTGTCTGACACTCACGAGAGATGCACAGCTATCAGAATTGCTATTGCTCAAGTGATACATTAGTGTATTTTGTCAGAGAGAGGCCACCTGCTGCAGTATTTCCAACTTATCATTGAGCCACATAGAGGGTTGCTTCACACAAATGCTTTCTAACTGTGTGCTACCATTAAACATCCCTGGCCTCCTTCAATTATTATAGTCATGAATCTAATTTTAAGGTGGTGCTTTATATTCTTTCTATGAAGGGGCTTTAAGGATCTGAAACTGATTAGCTCCACTCTAATTTAGGGACAGAGATGTGTAAATCTACTTATGTACATTTCCTGGCATGAGTCACCGAGGAGGTTCCATAAGTCACTATTCAAGATGATCCAGAACAGGTGTCCACAGCTGTTTTAGGAATAAGCACCGTGGTGGCCATGAAAATGCTGCTCTCAGATTTCCAACTGCAGGCTACAGAAGTGCCGGAGAGTCTCAGCTGGTGTGTTCCGGAATACTTGGCGCCATGGCCGTGCTGCTCAAGGTTTTTTCCAACCAGTGATTAATTGTGATGGGGATTGTAAGACAGCCCCATTACTGAGAGACACGGGACTCTTCTGGTAGATAATTTTGGCCCAAGACTGCCTCCTCCGCCAGTGGCTTTGAAGAACCTTTCTGAGTCCTGTACTGCTGTGTAAGCCTTTTCTTCTTACTGTCTCTTTCCCAAGGATTAAATCCATCCTTCACCCTGCCCACTCCGGCTTCTTCTCCATGTTCCTCCGTTGGCATTGCCCTCAATAAATCTATTTCACAATGATCCTGTCTTGACTTCTGCTTCTTGGAGGACCAAGAATAATACAGGCAGTATTATAACTGTATTCATTAAAGCTGTTGCAGTGGGAGTCAAGAGCACAGCTATTAACTTGAGAGTATGCACAAAAGACACACCCACTGCATGTTTCATTTTTTGGCACATTTATAGTAATTTTTATTTAAATTAAAGCACAATGTCCAAGGGCAAGCTTGTCTCTGCTTCTTCATAGATAGCAATGAAGCTGGACTGTGTTAGTTCTCTTGCTAAATTCCTGGTCCTCATTCAGAGCTACAAAAGCTTTTCACATTCTTCTTCAATATCATTGTGAAATTAACTTAGGCCTGCATTCTTTCCTGCTCATATTACAGGGTTGTGGAATATATGTGAGGGAACCAGTAGTGTTTCAGGATCAGAGGATATCTTGGTAGATTTCACAATTGTTACAGATAGCTATGCTCAAACTGTCTTACTCCAGTAAAAAGGATTAGGAGATGAATCTTCTTACATTTCTAAATTCCCCCACTTCCAGATTAGACATACAGTTTGATTTTGTATTGAAGAATGCAGCAATTTGGGAGCCCATGGCAGTAAGTTAACCTGAGTGTGGGGTGGTTTTTCAGGCTGGCTAGATGCACAACACATGCAAATTTCCTTCAATTGTACCTATAGAAGAATTATGTGTATCTTTTCACACATAATGCCATGAGAGTTGCAGATATTGGGACTCTAGAGGGGCAGAGTATGGATATAAGGGTTCATAGGTGGCCAGTACCCCACAAGAGAAGCCCTACAGAGAATGATAAGTCAAAGTTCTTAGCTTGTGAGAATCAGCAGTTTTTATCCCCTGAAAATGTAAATAATTTTTGATTTATTTCAAAGTTCCTATCCCATCAAGGTCATTCCTTCTCAAGATTTTCTATCATATATTGAAACTTATTATCCAAAGTGCTTTTAGCTTTAACTGGAGCCAAATAGGTATCATTCAGGTTAGTGGTGTAAAAGGTGGGTATGTAACAGGAAGCCAAGAATAACTGTATCTAAATTTCCCAGCACTCTGCACATTTGTCTCAATGGACCTTAATTTGGAAGACTAAACTTCTATTGCTACGCAAATTTAAATTATTTCCAAATCAGTTTTCTCCTTACTAATTTAGTTCCAAAATTTAGCTGTCACTAGACACATTGGGCCATTGATAAAGGCCCAGAAATTAACATGTAAAAGTAGAATCATATTTCCATTGATAGCTTTGGTAGAAGACATAGAAAACACTAAAATGAACCTTCTTTCTTCCTTCATCATAGAGAAATTTCAGAAGGAAAAGTCTGTGAACTTTACTGTCAAATGCGATGTAATTTTAAAATTGCAGGACAGGTATTCTGAAAGTTGTGATTTGATCAGCATGTTAGTTTGCTGTTGTAACAAAATTTGACAATCACATCAAAAGGAGGAAAGGGTGACTGTAGCTTGGAGATTCAGAGGTTTCAGTCCATAGTCATATGGCTCCATTGTTTTTGAGCCCATGGGGAAGCAGGACATCATGGCAGCTGCTCATGTGATCGTGCCAATAAACACTACATGAAGGAAGAGTTGGGGTTCCAGAACCCCTTCCAGGGCCACTCTGATGACCTAACTTCCTTACACGAAGGAGGCCTCACCTCCCAAAGCTCCCATCCTTTTCCAGTAGCACCATCTACTGGGACCTTGCAATGCATGAGTTTTAAGAGACATAAAGGATTCAAAATAATGATCAGTTAAACCAGAAAGCTGTGATCAAGACTTATATTTGAGAAAGTAGCTTCTTAGTGTAGGAAAGAAACTTATAAGTGTCTCGGTGCTTCTTCACCATGCCTCATATCATTTTACACCCCTTGCTTTGGATTATGGGCTCTGTTTGCTCTATTAGTCTCTTTAAGAATCTGCTCAAATGTCACCTGATCAGAAAGGCTTCATGGAACCTCGTTATATGGAAGTGCAAACATGCCCACTGTATAGCCCCTCACCCAAAATTCCTCTTCCCTACCTTCTCCTGCTTTTATTTTTCTTCATAGAACTTACCATACCTGATAGATGCTTATTTTCTCATAGTCAAACTGGAACACAAACAGCCAAAGGCAGGGGACTTATTGTTTCTTTTATTTTCAGACCTTGTACCAGTGTTTAATGTTGTAGTAACTGTACAACAAATGTGCACTGAATGGATGTATAGGAGATCTGATCAGCAGACTAGAAGCAGATGCCTACCTGTGAGATATGTACCTTGTAGAGGCTGAGGTAGAAAGATTCCGTGTTTGAATGCAGTCAGCCAAGTTAGCCACTCAGCGAGACCTTGTCTTAAGAGCATAAAATAAACAAGGACAGGGTTGTAGTTCAGTGAGAAGGTCCTTGGTTCACACCTGATCCCCAGTACCACAAAAGGAGAGAACATGCGTAAGAAGATCGATTTCTAGAAATGTTTCTTAAAATAGGGCAGATAAAACATGAAACACTATAATTTGGGGAGGCTATCAGTGGTTTTTAACTTTATGCTAAAAAAATGGAAGTCTGAGTGAGATCATAAATATTTACAACTTAATTTTCTATTGTGATTATAGTGATTATATGGTCCGTGAAGTAAACTTGAACACTACAGAAAATGACTTCTACTTTTTTAATCCAGATGTTACATTCTAAGGAAAAGATTCTTTCAGGTTCATTTTAAATTCCAGTTTCTTCTCTGTAGCCCAAAGACAGCCGGTAGCAAATGAAGTTACATGAGAGTGAAGACATAGTTAATCCTCTCAGGTGAAGGCAGACTGATGCTCTGCCAACTACTTCCTGCTCCTCCCAGTAACGGCTCAGGAATCTATATTTGGACTGTTTCAAACAATAAGTAAGTGACCTTATTTATAGTCTTGATTTCATTTTCATTTACCAAAGACTTTCACCAAGTGGAACCATCCTTTACCTGGGTACCTCTTGTGTACCTTGTGTATTTCTTTATTTTTAATTTCTTTTCCTTGGGTTCACCCAAGGGAAATGCAAGTATGAATCTCTGAAAGGAACAAAGTTTTTCCCTCCAATTGCACGAAGAAGGAAAGGCAGGAGTCCTTGACCCACAGGGGCCTGTCTGCTGTGTACTCAAGCTGGACCACGTCACCTTTTTGTACATAAATAATTTCATAAAAGAATATCAGACGATGTCACTTGAGATCATCATAAATTGAGAAAAAACAAGTTTTCTTGCAAACTGCAAAACATAAAAAAGTTCTTTGTTACCTACAGTGAGAAGCTGCTACTTTTTTAAAACCAGTGACAGATTTGTGTGACTTTACTCAGATCTCTTCGTGGAAGAGCTTCACTGAGATCTCAGCCAAAGATCCAGAGCAAAGTTTTGCCTTCTTAGATTCTCCTTCAATTACCCAAAGAAGCCCAGAGCCTACAAAATTTCTTTATAACACCACTGACAAAGAAGCTCACAGTTTCTGCGGTGTGTGCTTTCCCTCCTGCAATGATGCTACATGGGTTTGTCCACCTGTAGGTGTGTTCCTGCTCACCTCTGGCTGGAGGGGCCTGACAACCTCATCTGCAGTAGCTGAGGGCTTCTTCCCTCTTCATGCTGAGACGCTCACTCTTGTGTCCAGCACTGGAGACCACTTGGCTTTGTGACAGAAGACACTCTAATGCCACCAACTGAGTCAGCAGCTTACCTTTTGCTAGTTTTTCTGTTTTCCATGAGTCTTTAAGTCTGTTCTTGGTGCCCACTGCAAACCTACAAGCAAACTCATAGTGCCAGGGGTTGTAAATATTTATGATTAAAGGTTATTATTTCCTTTTTAACAGTTGGTCTTCAAGGTTACAGTGCTAGCTAGAATAAAAGGAGAAACTATTTTTCTTACACTGGAGTTCCTCCCCCATCTTTACTTAGCTTGGTGGAGGGTAAAGTAAGTTAAGATTTCTTTCCTAGTTCCTGGCTTCTGTTGAAAGCGCAGACCCTTGAGCTACCTCGGGTCCAGCCATAGTCTGCTGCATACACTTGGACCCTGGACTTACCAGTGTTGTTCAGGAAGGGACTGGGTCTTCTTCCTATCTCAAGGGACCTCTTGGAGAGGTTCCTTGCTAGATTGTATGCTGTGCCTTTGATCAGTTTATCCTTCTACCACCCACCTATTGGATATTGTCTCAGATTTAAGATATTTTAATTTTGGCAGGCTGTGAAAATGAATTTTATGTCAAAATTTAGGTAGTTCATGGGAAGAAGCTTTTAATATCTACTTGTACATGCTTCTCAATAATTTGATAATAACTAATAATTTGAGTTCACACTCAATAGAGATGAACAGCGGCAACTTTTAACTGGCTCTCAGGTTCACACCATGGCATTGGTATTAATTAAAGCTTAGTTGCTGACATACCATCTCTGTTGTTGCTGTTTAAGTTACAATTGCTTCCCTCTCCTTTATTTACCTTTACCCTTTATTTACTCATTCTTTTATTGTATTTATTTCTAACATAATAAGCATCTGTGACAGCAACCCAAACCAGAACATGCATAATTAGACTGCTCTAGTTCTCATGTCATAGAAATGCTTCTTCTAGCTATCAATGAAAAGCACAAGAATCCAAATGCAAAGTAACATTTCCATGATTCCCTTGATTAGGATTGGGAGTTGTTTGGTGTGTGTTTATAGTTTGAAGAACTGTATCTTCGAATTTGAGAATCATCCTCTGTTCATACTCTACCAAAGTGAAAGACAGGTCCAGACAGTTAAAGAAACTTTAAGGAAGTGGAAGCCAACAGGTTTCCAAAGGACATGCCAGGGGTCTGTTAGAAGCAGTCTTCAAAGATACAATTTGGCATGGCATGTTGCCAGCAAAAAGAATGGGCATCTAAGCCCATCTCTAGTTGGTCTGTTAAGTACATACATTAGGTGAGGCTGTGACTTTGGGTGGGGACATTAGCTAAGGCACTAAGTTTTCAGGGATTGATTTTGTGAAGAACAAGTAAGAAGGATTCTGATAAATGTGGCAGATTGCTGGTTAAGGCCATTGCTCATCAGAGCTCCAACTGACCTTGGGAATTAGACAATGGCATATTTTATTTTCTTTTACAGGAATACAGACTGAACAGTATGGTGGAATTTATTTGTTAAAAAATGGGCTATTTCTGTGACAGTAACAATCTGGGAACCACTCTAACTTGTGAGAGCAAACCTCTGTTCCAGATCCTGATGCACAGTACGTAGGAGAGATGCTAACTCAGTAATAATAATAATAATAAAAAACATTTGCACAAACATTTATCTTCAGCTATAAATGTTAGTGGGGTCAGAAAAGAAACAACTACTAAGAGAGTAGAAATAACAGGACATAAAAAACTTGGTGGCTTGACATTTTTCATTAGTTGATGGTGTCTCCCTAATACACAGGGAAATAGCTGAAAATAGATTAGAATGTGCAGGGGCAAAGAACATAACAAGCGACTGACAGATGGATGGAAATCCTCCCACACCAGCTGGCCTCATGTAAGACTGCAACTTGTTAAAGTTACAAAAGCTTTCAGCCTCGTATGGATCTTCTTCAGTGTTTCCTACTATAGGGACAAACTCCATGGGCCTTTGAAAAGAACCTCAGTTTGTAGCCTTTATCAGTACCTTCTCAAACATCCATTATTCAATAATTACTGTGAATCTGCTAGAGAATAAGTGCCAGACAGGCGGAGACCAGAGGAAGGCTTTATTTTTATGGAGTACTTGTCGAAAGAAGAGAATGTAAAGGGTGCTTGAGTAACTGTTGTTTATTTAGTGTGGTCACTACTGGAGAAGTAATGGAGACCTGGGATGAGTTTGGAAGTCAGATGAAGCAAACACCATGTGAAGCGTTTGAGTCCATTGTATCTTAAACACTGTGTAGCCATGGAAGGATTTTTATTTCTGTTTATTAAAAATTTTTCGAAGTAATACATGCACAAGGTAAAAAATTAAATAGTACAGAAAGACTTAAAATGAAAAACACAGTTTGCCACCCCACTCTTTTGTAATTCTAGTCCTAGTCCCTAGATGCTTTTTTTTTAACAATATCTAATTTTGTATCTTCTAACTTCCTAACTTTAAATAATATGTTCAAACAATAATTTCTTGACTTATTAACTTTAGACAATCTTTAATAATTCCCCATTACAAAAGATAAGGATTTAACTTATACTATTCCACCTTTCCTTTGTCCATCCTTCTCCAAATGCTTAATAGATATGTCATTTTAAATAGTTTTATTGGTTTAGTTTTGAATTTACTATCTAGTTTTTCTCCTTTTAACTAAGGACTTTTTCTTTTCATCCCCACTTTGAATATGTAAGTAGCCATACCTTTTCTTCCTTTTATTCACTCAACTAATTCTTAACTTCTTTTTCTTTTCTTTTTACCTTGTCAGCATTATTTTCAATTTCAGTTCTAAATAAAATATTATTCCTTTCATGGTTTGCTGATATCAGAACACTGAGGATCAATAAATGGCAAGTACATGATTTTGGCTATAAAAATACTTTTTACAAAATGAAAATCCAATAGAAACTAGCACACCCAATGGCATCATGCATATAGTACTGGAAAGAGGATGTACTTACAACCCATGTCAAATTGATTTATCACATAAATCATTAAAATTACGTCTGTTTTGTTTTGCTTCATAACTGGACCTGAATTCCTGTTGTATTTTTAATCTTTGTTTTTGGTAGGCTAAAGAACGTGTGCATTCCAGATTTTCCAACTTCTTAGCTCCTCAATGGTATTATCCATGCGTAGAATGCATTCTTCCCACAGAGCCCTTGATTATGTGTTCTCACCCAAAATGGATCAGCTGGACAAATGTCACTGTAGAGTGATATGTCCCTCTGTATAATTATCACTCTAGAGTGAGTTTGTGACTCGATAACTATTACGCAACAATAAGACTTCTGGGGTGAGGTCTACTCTTTTCTGGATCCCACTTTTTCCTATTTCCTGGTTTTGATTATGTTTCTGGAGAAATTCCTCAAGCTACTTTCTCAATAAAGGTACAAAGAAGGTATCTTTTCTGAAAACTTGCATGCTGGAAAATGTCTTTATTTTGATATTCCTCTTTCCCAGTTTGCCTTCTATAGAATCCTGGGGACAAAAGTTTTCTAGAAGCTACATGAACACATCACTCCCTTGGCTTCTAAAATTCTGTGTCACTGACTGATCTCCCATCAACCTATTTCTCATTTTTTTACTTCAGCTAATTATGATGATTTAATTTTTTCTCTTCCTGTGCACTTTTAATATCATCATCTACACTTAGTATTTCTAAATTTCATAAGATTGTACCTAAATATGGGTTGTTTTGGGCATTTTCAGTCTCAAGATGTAATTCTTTCTGCTCTTTGATTCTCTTTATTCTTTACTGTTTTCTGTGTTCTTTCTTCTAGAAACTCCTAATGGTTACATTTTAGTTGTCTGTGTCTCTTTCCTTCCTATTTTCTGTTTATTTTTGCTCTATGTCCAAGGAGAGTCTTTTTACTTTATTTTCCAGATTGTCTACAAAAATCTTTTGGAAGTCTTATTTTGTTTTCAAAGATCTCTTGCTATTGTTAAAAATTTCCCTTTTCTTGTAATATCCCGTTACCATTTTACAAAAACAACTCAAATCTCTCTGAATATGTTACTGCAATTTTAAATTATCTCTCTACCATGCTGACTTTGTTTTCTCCAGTTTGTAAACTTTTTAAAACTTCCTTAATTCTTCTTGCTTACTTTTCTTATCCTTTTCTCTTGCTGTTTCCATCTCCCCTCCATGTCTGGGGATTTCCAGCTGAAAATTTACACTTAAAAATCAATTTTAACTATTGACTTTTACAGATTGGGTTTTTTCCCCTCCAATTGCATGGATAAGTCTTTATCTCCAGTGACCCTCATATGAGCAGAAACACCGAGTATTTGACTAGGGATCTTAATTCTAGAGAATTAGCTGGTAGGCTGAAGGGGCCACATATTTTCACAAAAGTATTTTATTTGGAATATCAACTCTTCCCTCTCCTCAGACAATTTATTTAATTCCTTTATACAAACAACAACAAGAACAGCAACAATGAAGTTTTAACTGGTACCAATAGTAGGCTACTTATGTTCTATGTACAAGAGTGGGGGTAGAACAGAATGGGGATGAATTTTACCACTGGTACAATTCTTTAGTAATAGATTTTTCTGTTGCTTTAGTTTCTTTGGGGTTATGTTGTTCAGATCAGCTTATATTCTGTCTGAAAGGTACCTTTGCTCTTTTAATTCATTTTCATGCTTCTTCCACTTTCTCTCTCCCAGAGTGTGTTGAGATCTTTTCCAATGGTTACCAAATACCTTCAGTTTTCTTGGCTGGGATTTGTCACTTCTGTTCTGTGTTTCTTGATGTCAGCTTCAGTGGGGCCTGAGGAGGAAACAAACAAACAAACAAAAACTTATGTGGTCAGTCCATTGTTTTAAACTGGACACCCTGTTTGAGGCTTTCAGGCAGGTCGTAACATGGATAACTATATATATTTACAAGATCCCCAGGCCTCACTGCTAAAAGGGACTAAAGAGGGCAAGAATGTATTTAATTTTATTTTAAAAGGTTGAGAATCTAATTTTTTCTCAGAGAACATGCAGTATTGGGGACTTCTGGGAGTCAGATGCTTACCAAAACAGGCTAACTTTCAATAATCTAGGTAGAGTGCTTTCATGGTGCCCTGGAAAGGGTGATGGAAACTAAACCCCCAGCTACAGGGCTTGCTAGATCCTAATGGCTTGTCTAGCACTGTCTACCGGGACACACTCCAGTAGCCTCCTTTTTCTTTGTACAAGTAATTGGGATAAACCAAGGGGCCTTTTATTTTGATAAAATTAGATGAGGAGACAAGCTCTAGTGAACAAAAACATTCCATTTGTTTCTTTATCTATATTTGGTTACTCAAAGCACTGTAATTAGATCACCCATTCTGCAATCAGAATGCCTAGGTTTCAGTTCCAGATGTACCACTTATTAGCAATTGAGCCTTACATAATACATTTGATCTCCATAAAATTCAGGTCTCTTTCATAAAATGGCAGTGATCACAATTTCTATCTCATTATTGTGAAGATTAAACAATTTTTATAAAAGAGCCAATATTAATACCTGGCACATATTCAATACCCCAAAACACAGGGGCCCTGGTACCAGTCAGAAGCCTGTTACGAACGGGTTTGCACAGTGGCCTCGTGTATGTATGGACACCCCTTCATTCAAGTTACCACCTGGGCTCCACCTCCTGTCAGATCTCAGTGGCAATGGATCCTCATAGGAGAGTGAATTTTACTGTGAGCCATGTATGCAAGGACTCTACATTGAGGTCTCCTTATGAGAATCTGATGTAATAATAATAATTGAAATAAAAATAAAGGGCATAATACATGTAATGCCAAAAGGTTGGGGATAGCTTCCAGTAGATACAAACTATTTATGAATGAATGTTCAACTTGTATGTTTAAAGAACTTAGACAAAAGATATTTATGAACAAAGGGGAAATAATTCTAGGCTAAAGAGAGGATAATTACGAAGAAATTCAGAAAAAAAACATTGTGTAGATAAAATCTTATTGCATGCCTCCAGTTCCCCAGTTAAGTAAATAAAATGAAGTATTAAAATCAATTTAAAAAGAAGTGAACTAAAGGAAAACTGGTTGTATGTAAACAGCATTATTTCTAGAGGCTCAATCTTAGTTAAAATTATGAAGAAAAAGGCATGCAAATGACAGTAAATGTAGATGAAAAAGCAGGAGGATCTTTTAATGTGTGGTAATTAAGTAAAGATTGGGGCAGTTTTATCTTGTTCCAAAGTGAAGTTTTCTGTAGGTGTGGTAACACTTGAGTGTTTGCATCTGGAGTCTGTGTCACAGTGGAAGTACACCTGCTATTATGCAACCAGATGGCTTACTAAGGGTAAGCACCATCTTGGAATTGTCCTCATTTTTGTTAAGATTCCCACTCTTAATTTAATCAGAGAAGGAGTTGGACTGAAAGATAGATTTAGGTAAGGAAGCCAAACTGTAAGTAGCTTCTAAAAACCCCACTGTAAACTTAAAGGGTTCTTTCTTTAGATTTATAAAAGAACACCAGAGTCCTTCTAAAAGCTATATAAACTAAAGGATGGGATATTGGAGGTAACAGTTATGTACTGTATATTTCCAAAAGCTAGCAGAAAAGATTTAATTCAATATTATGATGAAATGACAGATGTTTAAGGAGACAGATGTGTTTAACGTGAGTTAAATATTATGGTTTCTCATTACTATGTATAGCTTTTATATCTTTATGTATCAGTTAAAAAAACAAACAATTACACTGTACTTGTAAATCTCATCAAAAAATGACATTGGACTCTAAAATGAAACTGAGTTAGTTAGGTATTAGAGTAGCTAACATTTTTTTCAATACTTATTAACTACCAGGCATCAGCATAAAATGGAATTTTCACAATAATTTCATGAAATGTATCTCATTTTATAGAATGAGGAAACTGAATCACAGAGATGTTAAGAAACTTGCTACTGCCATACAACTAATAAGTATAAGACCCACGATTTTGAATGCCAGGCACCTACTTGTAGAAATGGTGATCAACTTCTAACCAGTGAGAGGAGACTGGAAATAGGGCCTCATTATTCTGCAGAGCAGCAGGAAGTTAAGCGATTCCACTGCTCAGTTCATAAGCTCTTTAAAGTTATCCATTTGCATTTTTGTGACAATTCTAAGAGGCCAGCCTTTGTATGCCACAAGAAAACAGTAGTACAGAGAGAAATGGCTTTCCCAAGAGCCAACTCTAGTCCTAGCCAACTCTAGTCTCACTACACCAGACTGCTTTTCAAGTGCTTTGAAAACTATCCAATAGTACATAAGGCATCAGAGAGCTGTCTAGTTGTCATGGTAAATTTGTGTTCCAGTGGAGCTTGGTGGTCAGATTTTTGGATCAGATGATCAAAAGTAAATCCAGACAGTCTTTAGAATGTGAAGCTGAGAAACAACCTCTATGGGCTGTACCCTGTGAGGATGGCCTGAAGGTAAGCCTAGACTCCCAGATGGGGCCTTACAGGATCAGGAGGAAATGTGGTAGCTTTTAGTAAAGAAACAGGGTGCCTAGTAGAAGGCCCTGTTCCTGAGAAAACCTGACTAAACTTTTGCTGTGTTCTTAACCCGCTTCCTAGAGACAGAAGTCGGTGATAAGACACAGGGCCAAGGCCAGAACTCTAGAAGACAGAGGTGGAGGAGTGAATCCCACCTCTGCCTTACCTCCCCAAACCTCTCTACCTGCCACCTTGATGGGCACTCCTTACATCTGTGTGAGGAGGTACAATTTCATAATATTTTCCTTCCACTCAGGCAGGTAGGCCAGGCTGGTAGCCACTTCCTTCTGGATGGGCCAGGCCCAGGCCTCAAAGAATGGAGCCAAATTCTTCTGCACTTGGTGGGAGAACATCTTGACCCACAGATTCATCTTGTCGACATTGTCTGTGGGCAAGTTGGTCTGGTTCCTGTACTCAGAGAAGAGACGGATGAATGGCTCCCATCCGAAGGCCTCCTGGAGCTGGAAAGAGAAAGATGGAGCCAGTTCAGACATCAAATCTACAAAAAAGAGGGCTCATCAAACACAATACGAGACTTGTGGGCATTTACTCTCCAAACATTAGCTCTGCAACTGTTGTAACCTTCTTTCCTGTTTCATATGCTGGTTTAATGCCCCAGCCCCTCTGCCCAGTCCTAAGAGGGTCTCTGGGTTTTTCAAACAATCAGTCATAGCGTTGAAAATAGCTTCAATAATTATTGATACTTCCTACCTCTACAATTATTTACCTGTCTCATAAGATCATAGAAGTAGCGTTGGGTGTTACACAAAACCTTAAAACTACCCAAAGTGCAATGCTCCTGATTATTTTTCAGAGTTGCAAAGTTAAAGCCCAAAAATTTGGAAACTCCCTTCCCTATTCTGTAATCCTCATTAACCACAAGATGTGTCCATTCACGCAGCTACTAAAAATGGCCTTAGGGTCAGGGATAGAGGGAGAAGTGAGTCAGGCAGATATAAAAGACTATAGAGTCTAACTAGAATTAGGAATAAATTATAATTTTAGAAAGAGCCAGCTATCCTGAAGGTGCTGGGAAGAGCCCCAGCTGGTCAGGGTTACAGAGCTTTGGAAATAAGAGGCACTTGGGAAATTGACCACAACCAAACTAACTCTCTTCTTGGGAAACATTTATTCCTCGGACAAAGCATCTAGACAGCAAGGTGGACAATGAGTCCCTTTGGCTGTTCACACTATTCTCATGGAAAAACCAGAATGGAGCACATTAGGCCTGAGGTCAAGGCAATGTCATATCCCTAAGTGAGCCAGGAAATGATCTGGGAACTTGGGGGCAGAAAACATGGTAATTCAAAGGCAGACAACTTCCATGTCCAGAGAAGTTAAGATTCTTGGGTTGCTTATGTAAGTTAAAATCCGAGGCACAGTCAAGTCATAATGAGACGGCCCAGTGCTGTACTTGCTTCTGCTGATGGGTTTTGCACAGTGCTCTCGTCTACAGACGAATTTGGGGTGCTGTTAAGTCTGGTAAGTACATTTTAGGGTCACACCAAGCAATGCACTGAGAGACATGGCTACAGGATTGTCATACAGGGACTCTAGCAGGGTTTTCTGCACGTGAAAAGGCGAGGACACCTGGGCCCCCAGGATATCATCTAACCACATGGCCCCCCTAGGGTTTCCCACCCACCTCAGTCCCTGCTCAGTACCTGCAAGTACGTTTCCAGCGCAGTCCAGGCAGTCCAGTTTTTCACATTAGGCCCCTTGCTCAGGTAGATTCGGACTCTCTTCTCCCGAACTGGGGGCCACAGCGCAATATTAGCACGGCCGCGAGGGATGCCCAAGACTGTCTCATGCACATACACACACCACAGGTTGCAGGTGGCCTCCGTGGTGTGTGGGGGGAATTCCCACTCCTGCCGCTGCTGGTTACGGCCCAACTCGTGCACAGGTCCCCACAGCCCCTTGGTTCTGATGAGCTTCTCATTGATAAGCTCTTGTACAGACTCCAGGTGGCACATGATGGGGTACCCAGCATGCATCCAGCCTGGAAAATGTAGGAAGGAAGAGCAGAAGGTCAGGTCTTCTCAATCACCTTATGAAATTCTTCCCTGAACTCTCTCTTCCAAAATACCGGATATCCTCAGACAGCTTCTGGCATCCCTCCTGCTCAGAAGGGCAACCCAAATTCAGACCTCCTGGCTTTCCTTCCAGTACCCTCATCCATACTCCATCCTGACCAGCATTGCCAGGGGAGAGGCCAGAAGCTATAGAGGCTCAGTCCTGCCATTACTCTTTCAGTTTTGGGGGGGATTCTGTGCTGCTGTATCTTTTTCTCAAAATTCAGGACCTTTTGGTTGTGGTTTCTCCTCTCATTATCAGATATGTATTTGCTCCATTGGTACTACTTTACGAGAATTATCTATGCAAGCTAAGAAAATATAGCCACCCCACCTCCCAATTTTGATTCACAGCCTAGGAACACTTTATTCAAAGTCTTGCAATGACTCTGAGCTGAGTGAAGGCCCCTACTACCTTTACCCACTCCTTGAAGGCTCTTGAAGGCCACCCTGCAAGGTAAGATGTCTTGGTGTTTTTGATGGCATCTCTTGACACGCTAATTTAAACTGTTATCTATTTCTTATGTATATCCTTTGCTTTCTACTTAAAGAGCAAGGAGTACATGTAGTACATGCCTTACAAACAAAAGCTTTTTTCCCTCCTAGCTGCGGCAAGAAGGACCCTTAGGGGTGGCACACACGGAGGGTTCTCTGGGAGCACCCACCCACTGAGATCTGCACATCAGCCACGATCCTCTGGGGCAAACGCAAAGGGAATGGCTCGCCACCCAATCGTGCCACAGCCTGCATCACTTCGTCCCAGAGCCGGAGTAGCGGCTCAGGGTTCTCCAGCGCACGCAGATTTGCGGTTGGCACTGTCAGGATGATGTTGTCGGTGGCCAGCTCTCCCCAGGGACCTGGGTTCTCCTGGATTTGTCTCTTCCACTCCTCCTGGGATGTCTCTCCTAGGAAAAGAGGCCAGAGAGCTTGAAACACACATTCCCAAATCCTTTAAGTTAATACATACAATTTAGATTTCATATGAAGAAAGCCTAGATCATGAACAGACATATTCTTCTCTCTATCCTTGTATGAAGTCCCTATCAGTGTGCTTTGGTCTTTTTATTGTTGGTCCAAAGCAGAATCTAAGGAAGTTATCCTTCTTTCCTCCACTAATCTGGGACTTTCTTCTCCTGCACCAAACATCCCACAGTCACCTCCCTGTCTCAAGCCGCTCCCTTTCCCTTGAGTTGCATCCAGCAGGATCCACTCACCCAACTTGTAGTAGGGGGCATGCACAGCCCCTTTAACGGTGATGGGGACAGAACCCAGCTTGCTGTTCTGAGGCACAATGATATAGAGGAGTCCACCCCAGAGGCAGGTAATAGGTTTCGTGGGCTTGTCCAAGCAGCACCTGTTAATCACAAGGGGTCCTCGGAACAGCTTGCTGGCCCTGGTCAGGTCATCTGTGTGGCAGCCAATTTGTATCTGAAGTAGAGAAATCCCCCATCAGCATCAGCATGGGGCTTGCAAGGGCAGAAGAAGAGAGCCCAAGGAGTGGGGACTCAGGAAGAGTCATTAGGCCACAACCCCAAGTGAAATAGCGTGTGAAACTGAGAATGTGAGATAGACTTGTGAAGTTTCAGTATTCCTCATGAACATGCAGCCTACATTAAGGATATGCAGGGTTCTTGAACATCCTTGAAAAGGATGTGAACAGCTCCACCAAGGATCACCTGGAGACACTAACATGAGAAGCAGAGAGTGCAGCCTGGGGGGTGAACTCTGAGGATTGTGGGTTCCACAGATGGTCCTGTGATGTCTTTATAACACAAAGAATTCAAGGTTGGATATTTCAGGATGGCAATTCTGGTACTGAAGAGGGGGCAGAAAGGAGCCCTTTGCAGAGTAGAGAGTGGGCTGGTACAAGGCATTTATAATCTGGCTGATGTTAACAGAAGACTTTAATTCCTTCCCTGTTCCTGAGAAGTCGAATGATGCTTGCACTTGATAATCCTGAGACTGCTTACCTTTAGATTTTGCTAAACAAGAGCCAAGATAAGACACAAGCATGGAGTAGACCCTTGCTAGTACAATAACCCGATGGTGGGAAATAACAGGATAAAAAATTTAACTTGGGGAATAGAATGCGTGTTTGTGGAAGGGACGAAGCAGAGGGTAGACTTGAGTTACTGAGGAAAAGTCTTTTTTGGTGGCATGGGAAAGGAGCCAGAATGAAAAAGACCTTGTGCTACAGTGGCAGACGTATGTGGTGATGGGTAACAAAGTAAGATTTATTGACTGTAAGAGGAGGGATGAGTCCCTTCAGTTTGATAGCTCTCCCTATCGTCACTCTGTGGGTTTGACTGAAGCACAACTCCATAGAGCTGTAAGTTGGTTAATTTTGAGTTCTGGGCTCTGAGCTGTATCAGATTCACATTTAGTTTCCTGCAACCTAGTTGCTTCATCCTTGAAATGAAGGCAATGATCCCTACTCTGTACTGTCAGAAAGGTTTATGAAGACCAAATAGGATATCAACCAGGAGGGCAACTCAGGTGCCTGTCACCTGGTGAGACAGACGGTGTGTGGCCTCACCTTCAGATCGGCAGAGGCAGCAGTTTCAGGCAGTGAGACTTCTATGATTTGCCTTGCGGGTATGTAGAGGCCAGTACTCATCCAGCAGTATCGGGTGCCTGCAGACAATACAGAAGGGCATGCTTTTTCCCTGTTCTGTGACTCCACCTGCCGCCCTCCACAGACCCTCCCTGAGCTCTGCACCGCTCTTTCCCTTCATGCTGGTGGTGCTTTGACTGATTTCTTCCAAGCAGCACCCAAATGCCCAGTTTTTACTTTCTCAGTTGCAAAGGATGGAGGTGCCCGCTGCAGATGCTCAGCTCCCCTATATGAACTATTGCAGTCACAGGCTGCCAATCCACTCATCCTCCTAACACTGAGCTCCTAGTCCTCTGGCCTTACCTGGATTGGTGCAGTTGACTTCCACGGTGATAGGAGACTCCAAGGGGCGCAGGTAGGGGGTGCTGTATATGTCTTCGATTTCTGGGACCAACAGAGAGAGATCACTTCCGGAGTGTGCCAGGCCCGTGGCCAGAGAAAGCATAGCCCCTCTGCAGCAGTCATTAATTACAGGGTTCTCTCGGGTGGCTACTGGGAGACGATAACGGCTCAGCAGCTTCCGTAAAAGCCGATGCACAGACATGTAGGCCGGGATCTCTTCAGCAGGGATCTGCAGGAAAGCTGCGCCATCGGGTCCCAGCTTTGCCAGCCAGCCTTTCTCTACGTTTCCTCTCTTTCGGCCCATGATAACCTGAAACTCGGCCAGAGTGGAGCGGAAGTGATAGGTCCTTATCCCCGCTTTCGGGGTACGGAAGGGCCCTGGATTGAGGCTTTGGCTTGTGATGCTGATGCCAAAGGGGTTGAGGAGGAGGTTTCCAGGGAATCGAGCCAGAGGAGACACTCCAGGGTTCTTGAAGGCCCACCACCAAGCCTGAGCTCCAACGAATAACCCACCGCCCTCTGCTACAAACTCCTGCAGTTCTTTGACCCCCACGTCATTCACGGGTTCAAAGCAATAAACACTCGCGTCGCTGGTCAGATGGGGCTCAATGCTGGTGTCTATGCCCCCCACGGCAAGCAGGCCGCTTAGCGTTCGCAGCTCCGTCTGCACCACGATCTTGCCTCTTCGGCCTCCGTCCAGCCAGCGGACAGCATTGAGCAGAAAGGGGCCGAGTTTCCCCACGGTGAATAATACTTTATGGCCAGTCACAACCACTCGGCCTCGGCCATAGCGAGCAGCAGCTATAACACAGCCATGGTAGGAATCTAAGCCCAGAGGAAAAGCTAAGGCCCCATGCACCAGCAGCTGGGATGGAAAACAATCTGAGTTGCTGATGTCCAGCTCCGAAATCCCATGCAGAAGCTCATCTCTATCCTCAGACAGGTCATCTTCACAACTGCAAAAGACATGTGCATGCTTGATTAGAGGAGCAGCCCCACATACAACTCTTAAACAGTGTGACCTATACAGCAAGTACTACAAATGTGTCAGATGTGTGAAGAGAGAATGGGGTAGGTCTGACTTCACTGAGCATGAAGTTTTACTGAAACAAGGGTTTCAGTAGAGTTGAGTGCCATCAACTCTGCATCCACCATATGGCTGTCTTAACCCCATGGGACTTGACTGCATCTGGATTTCTACTGATTCATTGTTTGCCCCACACAGTGGTGAACGCTATGGTTTTTGCTGCTTTGTTTTGTTTTTGCTCAGCCATGTGTTTACTTTCCTGACCCTAGAAAGTATACCATGTAGTCACTCTCTATGAGAAATCCATGCCTGAAAGATCTCCAACACACTCCAAATGTACAGAGATGGAGACACATAATAGGATGAGGTTTTGGGTACAGGAGTGGTCTCTGTAAGCTTAAGATTCGGGAATTGTTCTGCTATTTATGTTAGAAGTGTGGCAAATGTACGATCAGAAGGCAGATTTGTGGAAACACCAAAAGAAATGAGGAACAGGTAGAGAACATATTCATAGGATTTGTGTTGTACTCTCTGGGAATAGCAGAGCTTTAATGGTTTGGAAAACTAGTTCTCACAGTGGAGTCTTTCTTTAAAATAAAGGCATTAATCTGCAATTCAAAGATGACTCTCCCTTTCTTTGAAGCAGTTGCCATTAAAATCATTTAACTAGCTCTTCTTGCTATGATTCTGGGTTTATCAACCTTATGATTATAATCTTGCTTTGGATGATCATGGCCTGAGAGTGCCACCATGACATCAGTCAGGCCAACCAGAATATTATGCATTGGTAGGATTTATTTTTCTTAAGCAATACGTTGGCTAATATGTCTAGAAAACTGAATAGAAATAGCTATTTTTTTAAGTTTTCTTACTTCTTTAAGAAATTGTTAATTCTTGTAAAGTTATATTCATATGTTTCATGCAATTTTTTTTAATGAAGTCAGTGAAAAGATATGGTACTATGTTCTGAATTAATGGATCAGTAACAGGATTTCTGCATTAGTCTCCTGCAAGGAAATGAGAGATACTAAAACTTCTAAGCCAAGATTCAGATCCCAAATCCTAGAACTCCATCTAAATAAATGATACGAGACCCTGCTCAGCACTAAATCAAAGAGCGCTCTCAGAGACATCTGTTTATCAGCTTCAACAATCATAACTTCTGTACTTTAATTAGAAGGGGCAAAATAATAGTTTGGTGAATTGAAAAAATATCTATTTTGTTTTCCTTTTCTTTCTCACCATATTCTGAAATGAAATGTTATTAAAATAGAAACATATTTATGATGGTAACAGATTTTGAAAAGGGTACAATCAGTAAATTAGGGTAGTACAGTGTATATGGAGAACATATATCAAATGGAGTCAGATGAATCAAAATTCCATGAGAACAGAAGGGTCTGGGATTGGACATATGTGAAAGAGAAGATCAAGAAAACCAAGGACCAGTATTATCATTTGTCCTGAGAAAAGATAGCATAAAAGCAATTAAAAAAAAACTTATTGATGTAGAATTTCAATGCAATCTAAATCTTAGACAATATTTGCTGAAAATTAACAACATGAAAGAAAAGCATCAAACTCTAAGAGAAAACAAACTTCAAAGAAATGGTGGCACATGGAGAAGAAAACTCGAAACACATATGGCTTGTCACTAGCAAAAGTTAAGAAGATAGATCATCACTTTTTTAAAAAAATGGTTGAGGCTTATATAGAAATGTACTGATCAGAATAAAGGTGTTACTACTGAACAGGTAACCCTAATTTTGAAACACAGAAAGAAAATATATCAAGACCTAGCTAAAGACAGCAACTAATTAAACTGGAAAGTTAAGTAAGGTGATAATTCATGAAGCAGTCCTAAAGGAACAAAGGATAAACATTGTAAAAAGAGAAACAGATTGGAATACATTATAACAGTTAGCAATTAGGAATTCCAAAAAGATAGAACAAAGAGAAGAAGTGAGATAAACATTTGTTCGGACTGAAAACATCTGAATCTTTAGAATGAAGTCACTATCCAAATGGAAAGCAGAGAAAATGAAACAAGGGAGCATTGAGTCAGTTGCTGGTAAATTTATAACTCCAAATATAAAAGAAAAAAATCTTACAAAAGACTGTAGAAAGTAAAGCAAAATTGTCTACAAAGAAGTCAATGTTTTAGCTGCCTAAAACTTTTTCAGCACATGAGGACACTGAAATTTACTGCAAATAAAACTTTTCCAAGAAAGATTAGATTTATCCTGAAGGGCTAGAAAAATCTGAAAAACAAAACCGAAAACCACAGAAGAACAAATTTGCTATAAAAAACTGGTGGGCAAGCATATTGGTGAGGCTTCTAACTGATGCTAAAAACTGCTGATGAATATCCTGTGACACTTGATGCAATTTGTAAGAAAGAATACCAGATTAATAAAGCTATGATATTAAAACAAGCAAAAATTAGTGAAAACCAGCTAGTACCGTAATACCTAGTGATTTCTCCAAAATCTTGGAGGAAGGTGGGACACATGAAAGTTCAGAGTTGAAAGGAAAGATAAATTATATAAAGAAGTTAATTCTCAAATCAGATAAAAAATAAGTTTATCTAAAAATTGGAAAATAATGCAGTAATTATGTGTATTATATATAATAACGATGCATTTTAAATTACTGGGGAGAAGATAGATATTTTCATAAAGATGTTGGGCAGTTGGCCAGCCATATAAGAAAAGACAAACTGGACCCATACTTTACAAAATACACAAGAAAAAACCACTCCAAGTGAGTAGGAGATATTCATTTAAAAATTAAAATCAAGTAAGTGTTAAAACAAGGGTATGGTTTTTATAGTCTGACTTGCAATCAGATTGTATTAATAATGACTGACAAAATCAATTATACATACAAGGGCATTTTTTGGTAAAAATAGTAAGCATATTCAAAAGGGAAATTTAATGTATATAGATATAGGTCTTATGATTTTACTAAGTCATAAAATAGTAAAAGCCCAGTATGAAAAATTAACAACAGATGAATAGATATTTCATAAATTACAAACAACAAAACACACAAAAAGATAATCTATCTTAGTATAAGAAGGAGAATTAAAATTATTTTAGAGTACTTTTTTCTGATTATCAAATTGGCAAAATTCACAAGTCTGATAATTCTTTATTGAATACCTCTGGAATAACTTGACATTTCTTATATTCCTGATGGGAATCAGAAATAGTGCACATCCAAATAGAGAAAATTGTGGTACTTCCTAACCAAAATATACATTTGTTTAAGTTTTTTTGAGCTAGCAATTCAGCCAGTAGGAAGTTACATAAAACTGACAGTTATTCATTTCAACATTATTTATAATAGCAATATATTGAAAACAATATAAATTTAGGGATTGGCTGAAAAAACTAGGATGTATATTTAGAGTGCAATACAATATTGCTATAAAAAATCAGAAAAATTTCTATGCATCGTCAGAAAATGACAACCGAGTTACACCATATTGAGAAGAGCATTACACTACACACAAAAATCAACTCAGAATGAATTAAAGACCTAAAGGTAAGCTTGAAATCATAAAATATCTAGAAGAAAATACAGGGTAATAGTTACTTAGTGTTGGTCTGGAGAATGATTTTTGGCTATCATGAGAAAAGCACAGGAACCAAACCCAAAGTAAACAAGACTGCAGCAAACTAAATGTCTCTTCACAGCAAGGCAACACAAAACCCAAGGAAAGCAAAAAGGCAGATTATGGATCTGGAGAAAAATATATGCAAGCTGTGTGCCAAGTATGGGGTTATAGCTGCACTATATAAGGAACTCATATAACTCAATAGCAAAATAATAGTAATTAATGATAATCCAATTTATAAAGGGCAAAACACCTGAAGAGCAGATTTATGAGAAGACAGTGGCTAGCAGGTCTATGAAAATACACTCAACATCATTATTAATTACCAAAGAAATGGAAGTCAAAACCATGCTAATACTTCATTCTGTGAAAATAACTATCACGAAAACACCAAGAGATAAATGTTCATGAAGATATTGAGAAAAGGGAATTCTCTTATACATTGTTGGTAAGGATGTAAGTTGGTACATACAGAATGTGTTCTACATTGGTTCACGTAGAACTTTCTACAATATAGAAAATAGTTTGTAGGTTCCTTGAAAATTTTAAGAGCTACCATGTAACCCAGTCATTGCTCTGTTGGTCTATATTCAAAGTAGGTGGAATTAGCACGTTGGGATGATCTCTGCACCTGTAGGTTTACTGTAATGTTTTTCACAGTAGACAAGACACAGTACGGCATCATATAAATGTGGATGAATGCATAAAGAAATTATGATATATGCATATCAAAACTGCATCTATATCAATCATATATTCTAAACACCTATTTAAAAATCTTCATTGACACAAGATGAAATTTCATCTATCTTAAATGTGTATCTTGATGAGTTTCTGCTAATTTGATACAACTGCATAACCACGATTTTATGCAAATAGACACAAAATATCCATCACGTAGAAAATCCACTTTGCTCCATTACAGTTGATTCAGTCCCCTATTTCAGCACAGAAAGAGGCTGGTGTGCATTCTGTACATACAGGTTGTATTTATTTTTCCTAAAGTTTCTTATACATGTGCCCTGAAGTATGTACTCTATTTGTATTTGGCTTCTTTCACTCAGAATAATTTTTAAAGAACCACGCATGTCATTGAGCCTTTCAATTATTCATTCCCTTTTACTGTTCAGCATTTTGCAATGACAAAGATATTCTGCATTTTATTTAACCATTTTTCTGTGGCTGGACATCTGGATAACGTCCAGTTTGAATCCTGCTGTGCAACAGTTTGTGTTGACATATTTTAAATTCTCTTGGATTAAAGTTGGCTGAGTTTTATGCTAAATGTATGTCAAGTTTATAAGAAATTGTGAGTCTTTAATTTGTCACTTTTTAATTTTAAGAGATAAGATATTTTGTTGTGACTTTAATGTGCATTAGTCTAAAGACTAATAATATGGAGAATCATTTCATGGGTGTTTTGACTTTTAATATATCATCTTCTGTAAAGTTAAAATACTTTGCCTTTTAAAAAACTGTCTTCCCGAAATACAGTTCTGCACAATCTGAATGGAAGGTCATTGTTAAACATGCAAAATTTTGCTTTAGTCTGTAATTCATCTCTTTATTTTCTTAATATTTTGCATGTAGCTACAGAAGTCACAGTTTTTAAATAAAGCTCAATTTATCAATCTTTTCCTTTTATGATCATGCACTTCTTGCATTTTATGAAGCCCACCTCTGTCTAATACTTTTGGTACTTTTTCCTGTGCTTTCATTTGGAAGGTTTGGAGTTTTTGACTTTGGAGTTATGTCTACATCTAAGTATTTGCTTTATGTGTCGTGATGATGGGGTAAGGGACACGCTTCGTTTTTTCAGCATGGGAAATCCACTTGCATTGGAACTCTCTGTTGAAAGGACTGTTCTTTCCTCACTTACTATCTTGGAAACTTTGTCAAAAAACAACTGAACATAAACATGAGATGAACTAGTCTGTGTGTCTATCCTTATACCAGTATTATAGTGTTTTGATTATTTCAGCTTTACAGAAATTTCAAAATTAGCTTTTATAGGTTCTCTACCTTTATTCTTCATTTCCAGAATAGGCTTAGTGATTTTAGTTCTTTTCATTTGTTTATCAGTTTTAGAATCAACTTGAACTTTGCATGGAGTCTATAGAACACTTTTGGAAAAAAACTAATGTTTTAGAAATATTTAATACTTTGATGGGGGCATGGTGTCACACACCTGTAATCTCAGCACTCAAGGGCCCAAGGCAGAAGGATGGTGAACAGGAAAGTTTGAGTCCAGGTTGGGATACACAGTAAGTTTGAGGCTAGCCCAGATGACACAATGAGACGTCTCGAAACAATAGCAAACTAGGAAAAGAGGGAGGAAGGAAAGATCGTGTTCTGACTCATCAACATGGTATTTTTATTTACTTCTTTAGATTTTATTTATTTTTTTCAGGGACTTTTGAAGTTTTCAGTATACTACGACATTTTGTTTTAAATGTAACTATTTCTTGATTTTAGAATATTCTAAATGATGACTTATTTTGTTCTAATATATAAAATGTAATTGATTTTTGTATCTTACAACATTGGTAAAGTCAAGTATTTTGGAGATTCTCTTTACAGAATGATTATATGTTCTGCAAGTACTTCTAGGGATAAAATAATCCCACTGCAGGAAATATGCTGACCTTATGCTCAGATGAATCTTATTATTTAAAACTCTTCTACATGCCTAAAATACTTACTATTGTTTGCTGTCTTGATAATGTTTTTTAACACTGATTTGAAAAGATTAAAAATTTTCCTGTTTCTTTAGCACAGCATACTGATCATGTCCTTTTATCCAGTTTCACTTTCTGCAGTTTCAGTTGACCACAGTCAGATGTAGTCCATAAACAGTGAAAGGAAAATTACAGAAGTGAACATTACATAAGAAATTGTACCATTCTAAGTAGCATGATGAAATCTCACACAGTGGTGTGCCATGATTTATCCTTTTGTTCAGCGTATACACACTGTATATACTACCCCTTCTTTTACTTTTCATATATAATGTTGAACAGAAGGGATGAGAGCAGATGTTCTTCCATTCCTGATTTTAAATTTAGGGGAAAACATTCAATATTCGGCTACACACATGACCACTACCATGGACATGAACGTGGCCATCATTTCCAGAATCATGGAATGAATTAAGGTTGTGAACTGAGGTACCATTGTATCTAGGTTAAACTGGGGAAAGGTCATCCAAAAGACACAGTAGACAAATTTTTCTGGTGGATTTCCCCAAAACATTTGTTCCAAGGAGATCCAAGCTCATTCTCATGCTTCCAACTACCTCCAAGCAACTTCCTCTCCCAATCTTACTTACCCTGGCCTTATCAACCAGAAGTATCAGTGCTCTCTGTTCCAAGGAAGATGAGAACTTTAATGTACAACAGGGAGTGGCCTTGAGTACTTTTTCTACCCCTGGGAATACTCCAGCTATATTCATCTATCCACATTCATCTCCTATGTTCATCCATCTAATTTTATGCCCAGCAAATATTTATTGAGCACCTATTAACCTGCACACATATGGCACTGTGTGTGAATAAAACAGACTAGCTGACGTTTTTGAAGCATTTTCATTCAGTGCATCCTCTTTCTGCACTCATCAATTTATATTCTTCATTCGCAATTATTTAATCTTTGGGCCCCACTCTTTTTTTTTTTAATCAGTACCAGGGATCGAACTCACGACCACCTGCTTGCAAGGCAGGTACTTATGCCCCTGAGCTAAATCCCCAGACCCTGGGCCCCACTCTTAAATCTGAAATTTAGCATATATAATCAGTGCCATCTATTTGGCAATCTCAACTTCTGAGTTTTCTGTTTTCTATTTCCCCATCTGATTGAACCTTCCCAGACTTTTCCCACTTCTCTCTAGACTTTGCTTAGGGGGCCCCTAATGTTTTCCTTTTCCTCTTATTTTAGTTGAAGGACTCTTTCTTATGAATCTTCCTGGGTTATTTTGCTGATTTATTCCTGGGTTAAGCTAGATATTAGGTGATTCAATAGGCAGTAATTAAGTACTTCCATCAAGCAGCAAAATAATCTCGCCTGGGAAGGCAGGAGCAATGGGGACCTTGCCCTTCCTGGGCCATACAGCATTTTAAAAATCTACTTGTCCTGCGAAGAATCCATGTATGACCTCCAGGTTCTCTTCTGTTACCCTGGAAGCAGCACGAAGGTAAGAACCATGTTTTCTTTTTAACCCGGAGCCAGGTCTGCACTGGAATAGGTACTCACCTAACCAAGACTGGGATCTTGGGCATCTTCTTAGAGACTTTAAAGAAACTGGTGTCCCCTTTATTGTCAGTGAAGTACACACCGGCCACACTGGTCACCAGGTTCCCAGGGAATGTGAACAGAACCCTTTCATCATCACCCTGGTTGGCCCAATCCCAGGCCTGGCCTCCTATGAGCAAGCCTCCTCCACGCTTGATAAACTGGACCAGCTTTTCAGTCATGGTTTCATTGTAGGCATCGATACAGTAAACCCCTAGGGCGTCGTTCACTTCTGGCTCAATTTTTGCCTCTATTCCAACACCCTCGAACACTTTGACCAAAGGTGCCAGGGATGGGTGGACACCGATGGGAGCCCCAGGGGAAGAACAAAGCCACCCCACAGCATTGACGAGAAAGGGTGAGAGCTGGGTTTCCACCAAGTAGTCTTCATGGGATAAGACCACCAGGCGGCCTCGACCGTAGGTGGAGGCAGCAATGAGGACCTGGCCCATGTCATTCACCATCACAGGAAACGAGGCCTCGCCAATCAGGAGCAGTTCACATGGGATAGCATCTTCAGGGAGATCCCAGCTTGTCACTCCATTCATAAGGGCCTCGAAGGCAGCAGAGGGAGTCGCCATGGCGCTAGTGGTTTCTGCAGAAAAGAAAGCAAAGATTCAGCTTTGCAAGGAGTAGGCAAACAAACCAAAAAAACAAGCACCATCCGCCCCTTTCCCACCAGATGGTGAAATTCACAGTGCGAATGACGCTGACAAGTGAAACGACCAAAGCTCTCAGTGTTCAGGTCTGTAGTTAAGACTCATGCCCTGTCTACTTAAACTTGTAGGGTCAAATTCAGATGGTATGGTACTTTTCCATCACAGGTGGGCAAAAATAGAAGGGACAAATGAAGGCAGAACTGTGTCCACCAAAGTGATATTTTGAAGTCTTAATATAGTATCTGTTTTTGTGACTTTAGAAAATAGGATCTATCAGATGTATTCAGGTTAAAATGAGGACATACTGGGTTTGGATAGGACAGAGCTAATGGCTGATCTCAATAAGAAAAGGAAATTTGGGCACAGAGAGATACAGATACATAGAGGAGGATGTTAACAGAAGATGAAGGCAAAGATTGGAGTTATGTGTCTACAAATCAAAGAGCACTAAGGATTGAGGCAAAAAAAATAGATGCTCAGATTAGAAAGCCACCGACAAATTCTACCTCTGTACCTCTAGAAGGAACCAACCTTGCTGACACCTGGACATTGAACTCTGAAGCTTCCAGAATAGTGAGTGAACAAATTCCTGTTACTTTAAACCACTGTACTATGCTCACTTGATACGGCAGCCTCAAAGAACCGACACAGTGGTGCCATGTTTTATTCTTCCAATACCCGTCCCACTCTTCTTGGGCTCCACACTGACTTTATTAATCTCCACTTGGAAAATGAAAATTTCAGTTTGAAAAGTCTGAGTTCACCAAGCTGGTTCTTTGGTCAAAGTCATAACCTGAGTATGAAGGAAGACAAAGCCTCAGTGCCTTGAGTCCAAGTGTTGGACAGCCAAGTGCAGATGGTGACAAGTCATGAGAAGGGGCAGATTCTTGCCTGCACTGGAACACTCTGTGGCTGTGAGCTCACAAGCATCTCTGCTTCATCATGAGCTCCACGTAAGGATGCTCCTCAGTCTGATTAGTTGAACCTGATTGAAAAGGACCTCTAAAAACAAAGGCGTTTTGATAATCAAGATATCCACAGCTCCTTGTCCTGGCTCCCCAGCAGCTCTGGGCATAGCTGTTATCCTTGTCCTGAGCAAGCCAAACCCCCCCCCTTTTGCTATGTAGCCCAGGGCAGCCTAGAACTTGTGATCCTCCTGCCTCAGCTTCCTGAGTGCTGGGATTGTAGCATACCTACAATCACCACATAAAGAAGCATACCTCCCCACCACACTGGGCTCTCAGCAAACTGTTTATCTTTGATTTCTGGAACCACTTACTGTCTGTCCTTTTTTTTCATCTCCTCTTGGCATTTCTTAAGTTTTCCTCTTTGGACTTTACCTCCTCTCTATTTTCCATGTCAGGAAATATGCATTTATATTGCTGAAATGGAATTCCTGAGACTGGAAATTTATAAAGCAGAGATGTTTTTCTTTAGAGTTCAGGAGGCAGGGAAATACAGATGGAGGTCCCACAATCAGTGAAAGCCTTTGTGCCACATCAGCCCAGGCAGAAGGCAGAAGGACCACAGGGCATGTATGAGAGAGAACAAAGAAGGGGACTGAATGGTTCTTTTTTATCAGGAACTAGTTCTGGTCAGAGCTAACCCAAAGCCTGGATAACAACATTAATCCACTCATGAGGACTCTGCATTCACCACTGTCTTAAAGGTCTCCTCTCTCAGCAGGTTTGCCCCGGAGATTAAGATTCCAACACTGAGCATTGAGGAGCACAGACAGACCATAAGACTCACTCTCAATTAAATACAGGTTCAGGCAGTAGAGTTAAGGCTCTCTAGATTCAAATCTTAGGGCAAGACCTGGATAACATATTTCAGATGTAGTTTCGTTATTTATCAAATAGAAACAATAGTATGAATCACAAAAGATTCTCAGAATTAGAGGAAATAACACAGGTTATATGCCCTTATGTTACTTATAGACATATATTATATATGCATGTACATAGTTATTTGATGAAATATAAATCATTTAAATATGTGAATAATAGAGAATTCTTGCAGTGAAAGAAGAAATCTAATGTAATGTTGGTTTTCATAAAAAGTGGATTGAATAGTTATTGATTTAGGTTTTATATTAGTTTTTTGCAGTCAACATTAAGACTTATGATAATATTACTGCTAAAATTACTGTTTATGTTTCATGTATCTGCATGAGTACTTGAAAAAGTCTTTGACTGCTCAGTGCTTTCCATAGCTAGCTAGGAAAAGGTCCTATCCTGAGTGGCTGATGAGGTCAAGACCCTGACTGAAAGAGCTCATGATCATTTATAGCTGGTTTCTGAAATCAAAGAAGTCTTCAACTCATTGTTTTCCTGCAAAAGAGTGCCTCTGAGGTACACTGAATAAACTTGATGCTTGTAGCAGTTAAAAACAAGCATTGTCTGCCTACTTCCCTCAGAGATATTGAGAACAGACAGCCAACAAATGTTTATTAAGAAGTCTGTTTTTTCTTTACCCCTCCTGGTGTCCACAAAAAACTAGGACAGTCAGCGACAGAGTCACAGTATGTTCTTTCTTCCTGTTATTCCATATCAGCTGGTCACAAGGACTGTCAATGTCCTTGTTCACCACTTTCAATCATGCTACCATTAACTTACTTTAGGTCTTTAAGTAATTCATGCCTAGACTAAACCAAGCTGATTTCCAAGTCACCAGGCTCTCTTCCTGGAACCTCTCTGTCCATATTACTGTCCTGAAGAAAAATCACCAGAGCTTTACCAGTGTCCACAGCGGGAGACCTGGCTCCTTCCTCCTGGCTTGTGATGACTCCAAGGTGGCAGCTCCTCCTCTTATCTTTTGTTCCTTCCCTCCCTGCAGTTTCCAGGCTACCCCGCACACCTAGAGATTCTGCTTCCATGTTAAATCATTTTCATTCATTTTCTTTCCCTTCTCACCCACATTTTTCTATCTGTGGAAATCCTACCCTTTTAAGTGAAGATATGCAAAGATATGGCCATCTCTCAGAAAAAAAATAATCTCATGAGTCAGTCAACAGAAAATACAATGCATGTTATTCATAGGACTGTCAAAAAAGAACTAAGAGAAAGTATTGGACAGAAGAATGTGAGGAAAATAAAGAAAGCAGCTAATGTTTAGTGGTGGAAAGGCTGTGGGGAGAGTACTATCACAATCTGAAGGACCTACAAAGTCGGCATTCTTTCAAAACAACCTGGGTGTATGTGGATTTGTATGTTGATGGTTCAGCATAGTAGTGGGTATGGAGGATGGGCAGATCCACCCTGGGGGTGGTGTGGCCTCCATAACATGTCAAGGCAGGCTTGTTGCTGGCTGCTTTGCTGCTTTGCCCCCTGCTGCCTACCCTGACGCACCATGAACTGTTTCTCTTCTGTGATGTCCCTCTGCCATGCCTCCCTGCCTTGGATTCAGCTGACTGTGGACTGAAACCACTAGAAGCTGTGAGCCAATATAAAACCTTTCACCTTAACTTGAGGCTTTCAAGTACTGTGTTTCAGTAACGGGAAGAGTAACTAAGACAATAAACATAGTACTGTCACACAAAACTACAAATAGAAAAAAAAAAAAAAACATAAATGGATGAGGGGTGTTTCCTAGTATCATCTTCCAGTCTACCTGTTTCAGGATCTCCCACTCAGTCCTGCAAGGCTGCCCAGCAGACCCCTTTCTCTGGGTCTACATTTTCCCCAGTGCTAATGTGTCACATGACCAGAATGCAGAACTGCCTCACTGGCTAGTTCAGGATGAAGTAAATCCATTTTGCATCTACCTAGAATGTTCTAGATATATATTAACTAAAAATTTCAACTCGTGCTATGTAGAAATGTATTTTTATAGATAAAGATAATGGAGGTGATCATAGTTATTGCAGTAGTAATAATACACTAGTTTTCAGGTTTTTTGCTTTGCAATAACTGACTCATGTCATCATTTAATCCTGATAGTAAATGTACATAAACCTTTGAGGTATGTGTCAACATTATACCCATTTTATAGACAGGTAAAATAAAACAATCCAAATCTCAATAGCCAGATAGTTTGTTATTTGCTCAAAGTCCCCTGGGCAGTAAATGGTGGAGCTAGGACCCACTCCCAGAAATCTAGTGCAGAGATCTACCTTCTTTAGCATAAGGAATATATAAATGTTTCTTAGATGCTCGCCTTTTTATGTATACAGATTCTATGGAGGCCACATTTCAACATGCTACCTCTGATTACATTGGGAAGGGAAGAGGTGAACAGTACTTTTCTTTATCCAAATCTGTAATCTCTGGAATTGCTATACATGGTATTATTACAATTTAATAGAAGTAATATATGTGCAATTAATAAGTTCATGTAAACAGAAGATAAACACATATTTATGTGTGTTTAATAGCCCAGTCAACTGATTCTATCTCACTGGCCCCAAACCAGTGTCTTTGTCATCTTCCATCAGGCTATGTGTTTGCATACCAGTGTAGTTAGTCTCATTCCCTGTAAAGGAATGATCAAGATGTGTCCTTGAACTCTGCAGTTGGTTCTGTTCCCACTTTAACCAGCTGAGAGTGACAAGACTTAACTTCTGAATCAAATGCTCCCTTTTGATGCCTGAATCCCTGTGTTTTCTAGCTTGGTGAACTCAGAGAGACACAACAGGGGAAAATGAATTTTTATTTTTCCTGTTAACCTCCCCATGGTTCCTGCTTTCTCTCCCCTGGACCTTATAATTAGGTACAAAGTCATCATCAAAAAGCAGAAGGTGCTCCAGGCAGGACCTGGAGCTAGGAAGAGAGTGGAGTTTATATTTCTACCACACAGCAGTGCCATAAGGCTGGAGGGAATTTCCCTGAAAGAAAGGTATATAGGAATGGCAGGGCCTTGTTGGATACCATACCACTGGCATCCTGTATTGTACCTTGATTTCAGACCTTGGAATGTAGAGTGTCTCAGGTCAGACAATACATTTTGCTCTTCAACTCCCCAAAAACATGAGCAGATCATCACTGGACAGACGACTGGGTGAGGGATATGAAGGTGTCTAAAAAAGTGTTTAATTCATACATGTACTAGAATACAATATCAACAGAAGTGAAATAACAAACAACTGTAAAACTTAAAATTGCATATATTTACCACTCAGCTTAAAAACAGCACCCTTCTCTGCCAATAAAGAAAATAACCTGAGTTATTTGTCGGAAACTGGATGCACTCTGAGACCATGATGTTAAGTGAAATAAATAAGAGACACAAACCTAAATATTGCATGGTTTCTCTTTATACAAGAAACCCAAAATACAAATACAGAGCAAAATACAGACAGATAATAGGAAGTAGCAAGATAAATCTGCAAATGGAAAGGGAATGAAGAGATAGAGGAGGGGAAAGAACAGGAGGACAAAAAATAATTAAGACGTGTTATGCACATGTACCACCTCCTCATGAGGAATTTGATCACCGTGTACTGCAAACATAGACCAATAGTAATACTACTAATAACAGTAATAGCCAGAGAATTAAGGAAGTCAAACTTTCTGCCTTACCATAAGTCTTTAATTTCTGAGCTCCCTCTGGGGCTCCTGCCATTCTCTGTCCTATTCTCACATTTTTCCCATTGGGTGACTTTCTGCAGCACCACAGAGTTGAGGAACTCTTGTTCAGGAATGGGAAGACCTGGGTGATTTTTATGTGTGTTGTTTGTGTTTTATTAAAGCCCAGCCTCGGTGTAGATGATGGCCCCATTGCCTCAGAGGGTTTCTGCCAAATGGACGAAGGGTGAGAAATGTTGTCCTAAACTCCTAGGGGCTGTCACCCATCAGCTGGCAACTGGTCCCCTCTGTCTTCCCTCCTCCCCTCCCAGCTCAAAGTCAGCGAGCGGGGCGGGGGCCAGGGGCTGTGACGTTTGCAGACTGAGAGGCGGGGGTGGCAGCCTGGGAGGAGGGGAGTGCAGCAGAAAAGCTCTGCGCGGCTGGCAGAGAACTGTCCAGGCCCCTGGGCATCAAGGGCTGGGTGAGATGGAATATGCAGACCACAGGTCTCTCCTCCAGCCTCACCCGGTCTCCGGGGAACGGTGCAAGCGACCCAGGGAATCTCAGTCCCGGAGTCCCTTTTTGCATAGATCAAAGGGCAGCAGGACAGAGCGATGCTCCATGCTCTGTCACCAGCTACCGGCAGCCCCTGAGCCAGCCCGGCCTCCTCCCGGGGTGCCGCGGTCTTCTCATCCCAGAAAGCTGCTTTTGGAAGTCAGGCCTGAGTGGAAGCACAAAGCACACCCTACACCAGCATCGCTGTCACAAAGCGGGGCGCAGGAGCTGCGCGGCACTCGGGAAGGAGCAGAGCAGGGCAGCCTGGAAAAATCGCTGGCCATTGCGCGAACACAAAACGCCCCAAGGCTGTCCAGGGTTGACCCAGGCCCGCAATCCCCCCCAGCCCCCCCCCCCCGCCGCCGCCTTCCGCAGCTGCAGCCATCCAGTCCCGCCACCTCCAACCCTTGGGCCCAGCTCATCAGCGCCGTCCGTCCTAGGCCACGAGAGCTTCGGAAGGGGCCACTCACCGAGTCACCTCGCAGTGTCCACCGGGGCTGCCAGGTGCTGGGGGGGGGGTGCAAGGCCCGGGGGCTGGGGCCTCCCTGCAGAGCTCCGACCCGGAGGGCGAGCCGAGAGCTAGGCAAGCAGGAGAACAGCCGAGAGCGAGGAAGGAGGGTTCCCGAGCAGTCTCCTCCTCCCCACTTCCTTCCTCCAGGGCAGGAGTGGGAACCCGAGGGGCGGCGCTTGGCAGGGGACAGCGCTTCTTTGTGTCGCCAGCCCTGGTGGCTCGGCACTGCAGAAGATTAGGGACGCTGGCGTTGCCTCCTTAGCAGTCTACAAGGCTGTTTTATTAAAGGCACAAATGTCTCCGATCCTGCCCATTAGTAGGAAATGGGCTGAATAAATTACCATAGAAACCATCCGTGCACTCAGCACTTTTTAGGAAAAGCTTAAATCTCACATAATGAGGCAACGCACCTCGAGGCATGGGCCATGGAAAAACACGGATTGTAGAAATTGTCGAATAGACTTTCGTTTATATAAAGAGACCCACATCTGTTTTATGCAGGGAGAAGGGAAGAATACATTTCTATCTGCTTATATTTAATCCAGGAACAAGGAGCGGCAAGTTTTTGTGTCACTCTTCATTGATTGCATTGTCTTTTGTAAGTTGAAAATAATAAATTTCCAACAAGCAATGGGTGGCTGAGATGTCTTATTCAGTGTAAAGGTGAAATCCCATTTCTTCCCTTTCGGTTGCTCCTCCCTCGAACTGCCTGTCCATTCTTTATAAGGTGACTTCACCGAGGTGACAGGTGTTCCCTTCTAGAATGTGAAACACACAGTAGTGTAATGGCGAGAATTCAGATTCTCACCAGATGGACTGGACCCAAAGTCACTAGCTGGCTGACCCTGGGCAAGTTACTTAATTCTGTAAAACAGGGGTGATAAAACTTACATCTGCATTTCGGATTTATTTAAGACTAAAAAGTAGATGGGTTAAGACTTGTTCTTAATGCCTGGCATCTAATACATGCCATAATAGAAATGCTTGGGTGCTTATTAAGTACAGCAAATATGCAAGTCACCCTAAGATTCAGTATTTCAAGTCTAGAAACATGCAAAACTTTCAGTCCTAATTTCGTCTCAGTCACGAGTCCTTTCTCATCTGCCTTTTACACTCCTCCCCCAGTCTGAAGATGATGAGCATCCATCAATCAGGCCCAGACAGCAGGCAGGCTCTGGCGCAGGGCTCTGGTAGAGCGACCCTCTGAGACATAAACCCACAGAACCTGGGTTCAGGATCGCACTAGGCAAAGCAGCCGAGAGATAGTGAGCCTCCCTTTACTTTCTGTTCCTTCTCTGGCCTTCAGGTTTCTCAGCTAAAGGACAGCTGGAGGTCTGCTCTGTAAGTCCCTGCACCATCGATCCAAAATGCCAGGATGAATAGCACCGCCAGCTAACTCATTATAATGACTTTCATGAAAATAATGTTGAAGTGCATATGAAAACGCATTCACAATGAGTACTTACAGGGCAAATAGATACATGTGAAGAAGACACGCCAACTTATCTTGAAGGATGCAGAGGGGGAGCGTGAGATTTGGTGCAAAAATGGATTCTATTTTTTAAAGGGAGAGACAGACACAGAGACACACAGAACGAGCTAACCAAAGCAAAGGTGGTAAAACATCGGCATCTGGTAAATTCTATTCATTTGCATAGATAACGGGGCAGAATGGAAAATGCTTTCTAGGGACTCTCCATGGCTAAGCCCCAGGAGAAGAGATTTAGCACGTAATAAATAAGAGTGACAGAGACAAGCAGGGACCCAGAGATGGGGAGACAAGAGGGAAGCCTCTAAGATTCAATGGGAAGGATACTAATCTCCTGGGCGCAAGCGTTTCAGGCCTAGAACCCGTAGCTGGGGGCGACAGTGCACCCCACCGGACCGCCCTAATTCAGTCGGTCGGCCTGGGCCTGCAGCTCAGGAACCATCTTTGGGCAAGACTCACCGTGCGTCCAGCGATTCCACACCTACACCAGGCTACTCTGGAGGGGGAAGGGAGTCCTCCGCTGAGGCAACCGGGAGGCGGGCCAGGTGGCCGGGGAATTTGGAGATGGGGGTGAAGAGCAGAGAGCCGGCTGCAGTGCAGACTGCGAAGAGGGGCGGCTCCCGCAGCTGATTGGTCGCTGCCGAGGAGGCGGGACTTCACTGGCGCCCCAGGACCCCAGCGCCCAAGCTTTGTCAGTTTCTACCCCCAGATCTGGCCCCAAAGCCCAGACGGAGCCCCCGACATTCACCTTGTGAGTACAGCAGAGCAATTTGTTTAAAAAACAAAACAAAAACGACTATTTAACAAGGAAGCAGTTTGATAATGTTGAAACTTGGTGCAAAACAGTACACAACTATTCTTAAGAAGGGGTTAAATCTCTATATATTGCTCAGGAATAATTAAGGGCTTTCCTTCTCTCAATATATATGAAGTAAACGTTTGTGCTACATTAAAATAGATTGTGTGTTTGTACAAAAAATTAGAAATCTTTTTATAAGCTTGCATAAACAAGGAAATTATATAGAAGCTATACGTTTAAGTACTAGAATTCATTGCTTCAGACAATTGGGTTACTCACAAGTATTTATGTATCACATAAGCGAATTACTTTTAAGTATTTTTCTTTATGTACGTCACTAACATTTCAATAGAAATGTGCATTATTTATAATATAAATAAATAAATAAATAAATAAATAAATAAATAAATAAATGTGATCAGCTAAAGAAACTGGACAAAACCCCTGGCTTCAACAGCTGACAGTGCTTCTGTATGCACATGATTTCTGCCAGTGTGTAGGATTCTAGAATTCGGTTCCTAGTCCTGATGGATGTTAATGAAGGGCGGGATCTGACATTTGCTTCTGTTTTTACTGCTGACTAGTCCTACCTTGAGTCTCACAGCTTAGTGAGCTTAATGGTAGACTCTAGAGAGAAGCTACAGGGTCTTCCCCAAATGCTTGAAGGAGCTTCTCCAACCCTCCACCCCTCATGCCCCTCTCTGCCCTTACTTTGCCAGTACCTAAAAAGAAAGAGACGCTCATCAAACTGACCATCGTAAAACCTTTTCCACTGCTGTAAAATAGGACTAAGCCTAGACCTCTGAGCAGAAGGTGAGTTCTGTGTTAATGGAAACAGAGTAAGACATCCTATATGACTTAAATTATTTTTTATTAGAACTCACCAAACTAGAAGAAGCAAGGGTCAAAAACTACCTTTTCTCAGTTTCCTATTTCTCCTAGGTCATAAGCAGGGGCCTCAGAAGATTCACCAGAGGGGTGGATGGAGAGATGAGTGTGGGATAAGAAGGAAGTGCGTAGGATCATTTTCTCTTTTCATTTATGTTTTTTTCCTTACGATTTTCTCCTGAAGTCGTTTCTTTTCTCTATCTCCCAATGTGATATCTCTTCAACAAAAGACATGCTCCACTTTCTTTCTCTGTCACAGATTCTACACTAGCTCAGTTTTAAGCTCCATATCCACTCTTATTTCTATTTCCCCTTGAATTTCTTCATGTCCAGTTTTCTGCCCAGAGTAACCTTGAGTAAGTCAGTAAAGGAAATAGCCATGAAACTCTGAAAGCATTGAAATGACTTTGTCAACATTAAGACCCATAAGTACTCTGCAATATGTGAATGAACAGTGTATTAAAAACTCATATTGCAAGTTATTTTGAAATTCTTTAAAAAGAAGAGCTGAATTCATACTTTGAGAAATTCCCTGGAGTATATATTTTCACTGAAAATTTATGCTCTTACTTTACAATTATGTAAATTTATGTTGACTGAAGCCTGAAAAATGACATACTAGCTACTTCTGGAGTTGGAGGGATGTTGATCAGTAATTTCTCTCTTAAGAAACTTTGTAGTTAAAAGATGTTAAAAGCATCATTTTGAAATTAAAAGTTGATCATTTGATAATAGCACTCTTAGATCTAGTCTCAATAGAAATGCATAGACATGTTCATTAAAAGACATGCAAGAGAATTCTTCAAAGTGGCAGCATTCACGATAGCCTAATTAGTTATCCAGATAATGCCCTTTCTGGTTCTTCATCCATAAGTCTACACAGGTCTCCATCATCATGTACCCCTAACACATTTGATTAAATTCCTACTTACACTGAATATTTCACAATGATGAGAATGATCCAATAGGGTAGAATTTCACTAACATGCTATAGCGGGGAAAAAAAATCAGAAACTAAGTATTACATTTTGTAGGAGTACAACTAGGTACATTTTATAAAGGTTAAATTAATCTTTGAGATTAAAAATAATATTTGCTTTGAGAAAAGCAGTGACTAGAACAAGAAGGCATGTTCTAGGCTATTGTTGCTGTTTTTTTTAATAACTTTAAGTAGTTGACCAAGGGTGTGTTGTGAAAATTCATAAAACTGTTTTATGATATATTGATGTATAAGCTTCATACAAATATTGTTAATAAAGTATTAAAATAATATTTTGATTTCAGAAATGTAATTGATTAGATGCCCTAAAACAAATTACTGGTGAAATAATACATACAAAATATTATAAATGCATCAATGGGACGATAGAACAGTGAGGATCTGCAAAGACAAAAACAAATTAAAACCAGGAAACATTGAAGAAAGCAGGCACAAAAGCCAGCTTTCCCTGTGGTATTTCTGCAAAATCCTGCAAAACATACGGGCAGTGAAACAATGGAATGAGGAGTCTAGGACAAGGCTCACATGAAAGGATGTAAGTCAAAAGAACACTTGTGCAAAAAGATCAAACACCAAAGGAGTACTGGGGAAGGGAATAGGTAAATAATAAATAAATTGTTCAACACATCTCACATGGAAGAAATCAAGGCAACATGCTTCTCTTAGCCCTGCTGGAGAGTGAAGGGGAAAATAATGCTGAGACTCAATAGGCAGTCATATCAGTTATCCTTTGGTTTGCAATCTGAATGCATATTACTTCTAGGTATTGAAAAACTCTAAGTGAATTTAATTTGAAATGGTTCCATTTTGGTAATGTTTCCACTAGGTAGAAGCAAATACAGTTGATTTCTGGGGGGAAAAAATCTTAATTTCAATGTGTTATGGCTTGTGTCTACATGCCCACCAAAGCCTCATGTGGCCATGGGCTTTTCAGAGGTGCCTAACTCTAGAGTTTGTGATTGGTTCATTGT